AATTAATTAAAAAAATTTATTATTAATAATAAAATTTATATATAATAATTTAAAATTAATATTATTATATATAATATTATTTTATATAAATTATAGTTTTTATTTTATAATTTATAATTTATTTACCAATATTTTTTAAAATTTAAATAATTAATTATATATATATTAAATAAAATAAATTTATACCAAAATATAATAATATTTAAAGAAAAATTGTTAACGTATAAAAAATTAAATTAATAAAAAAAAAAACATTAAAATTTAAAAAAAACCAATTAATTATATTAAATAATAAAAATATTAAAATAAAATAACCTATTAAAAAATTAAATAAAAAAATATTAAACTTTTTTAAAATTTAAAAAGTAATTTTTTTTACTATTATTAAATTTTATTTATTTAAAAAATAAAAAATCCATAATTTATTTTACATTTTATTTATTAAACCTTATTGCATTAACAATTAAGCATTATTTAATCTTAATTAAATCTTATAAAAAACAATTTTAATAAAGTTTAAAAAATACTATATAAATAAGATAAAAAATTTTATATAAATTTAAAAAAATATAAAATATTTAATTAAATAAAAAAATTAATTAATTAAAAGATATTAAATTTAAAAATCTTTTAATTATTTTAATAATAAAAATGTTAAATAAATAGTTTTAACATTTTATTAATAAAATTTAAAAAAGCTAATAAACTCTTAAATTTTACCAGGAAAAATTATACCTTTTATTTAAAATTTTAACTTAAAAATAAACTTAAAAAGAAAAAAAATAATATTATACGGATAATAATATTAAAAAATTATTAATTAAAAAAAATAACCAATAAAAAATATAAAATAATTATTTTAAAATTTATTAAATAAAAAATATTATAAAACCATATAATTATATGCAAATAAAGCCAATACATTAATAAAAACTTAATTAAACTAAAAAATACATACTTTAAATTATTTATAAATAAGCCAAAATCTTTTTTTGAAAAGAAAGGGAAAATTAAAGACCTTAAGACCTTAGAAAATTATTAATAATCCTGATTATATTCCAAGCCCTTTACAGCCCTTGTTACACTGGGACCATCACTTTAAAGTCTGAACTTTTACCGAAGGCCCTGCGGGATGGCGGTTCTATCTAAAAACAATATCGAACGAATATGGGACTGGAAATATATTATACACGACCATGCTTTCTGAGATTACACGGGAATTTTAGCTTACGGAAAGACTGTGAACCCAGGCTTGGCATTTATTTCATTGTAGCTACCTGTTAGGACTTTTTTTTTTAAAAAAAAAGGAGAAAAAAAAACTGAGTGTATCTATTCACTTACCTATCGTTAAGCGGAATATCTAAGTAATTATATCTATATAATTCCATTTAAAAGTAGAGAGACGTAGATTCTATCCTAAGTGTAACAGGACGCCAATAGCTTCGTCAACATCGAAGCCCTCAGATACAGTATTAGAAAGACATGCCGAATGGACATATGTCGACGGCCTTTCTTTTAGCTTCAGCTGTTGAGACAATCGTTGAATATTGTGTTTTCGAACACCACCACCAACAATGATCTCAATTTCAAAAACTTCTGCTCTTGTGATGATTCTGTCTAGCATAGCTACGTTCTGGATGGCATTTCCGAGCCCGCCGGATGTGAGTATAGCATCAAAGCCACACGCCGCCAGATCGTCCAGCCCTATCCGCCAAGCATGCCGATCATCGATAGCTACCCCAGTGTCATCACAGCTGACTATTTCGTCAAATGCGCGGTGAAATACGGTTTTGAATGGGCGAGCAGCTTCAACTAGACGGTTGCATCTCTCTTTATCAACCCAGCATTTCCTCCTGCCAGTACCGGTCTCAGCAGCATCCTGGGACTCCTTCAAGATTCCAAAAACAAAGCCATCGCCACGTCCCTCATTTAATAAGCCTGCATCTTTGAACCTTTGTATAGAAGTCTCCATTTGCGCAAATTCTTCGTCGGAGTAGATGAAGTCACGGGCTTGGAGTTCTGACGGAGGACCACGGGGCCTGATCATAACGCGCAGTGGAACTCTGACGCACGAGGAACCTTTCAGTTCCTCGAGTGATGGTGTCAAGCCTCCATCTGAGTACGATCCTGAAGCATTAAGTTCGATGCGTGATGCCCCTAACTCGATGGCTTTGGAAGCAGCACTCGCACCAAATACTGGTATTTCAAGACCGATAGTCATAATCTCCCGTGACAATAGCGCCAATACACTCAATACTAATCTTTGTTTTATCGTAGGGTTGTAGTTTCACTCCGTTTGAGCCCGAGCTGTGAGGTAAGTGTCAGTCGACGTTGTATGTTTCGGAAGAAAAGGGGGGAGAGTCCGTGCGCCTCTAAACTTGATTGACATGGGGTAAATGCATATGTAAATACCCGTTATCGATAAACATGATAACGGACGGGTATAAATTTCAGGCTTATTATCTCATCACATATATCATCACACATATCTAGACAATCTTCGACATTCATTAGGTAATCATTCAAGTTCAGAGTCGAACGGAGAACACAAAACATATTATTAGTCTAGGTTTCCATAGACTCAAGGCATTACAAGAGCTGGGGATAATGAAAGTATTATCCCGTCTGCGAAAGCAATCCTTGTCCTGGTTTCCCACGGCTTGGCGCCACACATAAACTATTCGCAGTTGAGGGCAGCTTTCTTGTAAGCCAGCTTGTTCCCACCTCTTCATACAATTAAAGCAGCGCCTTTATCTTTAGAATGATGCAACAAGGTCAATACCACCTTTACTGCCACCACCACCACCACCACCAACATGTTCCACACCGCATGTAGTCCATGCATGAGCTTACCAGCTGGCAAGAGAAGGGATAATTCCGGGATGTAGTCCCTCAGTAGTGTCGAAGATACTACTCGGTGCACCACCAACACCGCCCGCTAGACCAAAGCTACTCGCATCATATGCTCCTTGAACACCTTCGTTCTCTTTGTTAGCATCATAGGTGTCAAAGTTCCCATATACCTGGTGAACCCTATGGAGTTGCAAGCCCTGGACAATCTGACCGTCTTCATAGATGATGAAGTCTTGCTGAACTGGGTTGCTTCGTATCAACCTGAAGCCCGGCACTTGAATGTCCTCATCACCTCTGCCACCCTCATTTTCTTTGTTCTCTCCTTCGTCTTCAGTAGATAGTTCCTCTTCAGTTGTTTCACCGGTTGGTATATGTTCGTTAACGGAAGGACCGCACAGAGTAGATAGGGATGAGCTAGATGATAAACGCGAAATAGAGGGTTCTCCGGTACGATGTGCTAATGTACAGTGTGTCTGGAAAACTGGAGTGATGCCGGAGGTATTCTGGCTAAGGTCCTGGATAGCAATACCGCTATAAGCGAATTCGGAAGACGACGTATTATCGGCAGTCTGAATCCCCATTCCATAGCCAGAGATATTCTGGGGCTGGAACGACGGTGAGGGATAGGATGATTGTATTGTAAAGTGGTCTCGCACCGGGTTTTCCCCAGTCGAGTAGTCTGCCGCATCCATCAATTGGGCAGCCGCGAGAAGGGTATCAAACCGTGATAAGGATGATCCAGGTACAGATTCTTCTGTAACAGATTGCCCGTCCATTTGGGAACCCCAAGTGATTTGATGAGGATTGTGGGAAGTAGTGTCAAATGAAGGCTCTTGGACTGGTCGGGGGTGAGGAGCCGGGGCAAGTTGCTGCAGGCGCCGACGTTTTAGACGGCGACTAGGATACCGAGATTCTTGAGACTGGCTAGACTGGCTGGACCGGCTGGACTGGCTAGGCTGATGAGACTGACGAGACTGCCGAGCTTGACGTGCTGCATACTCTGGCGAGAAGACATCATCTTCCTCTAGGGGGGTAATTGTGAAGCCGTCTGGACTCGGAGGCGGAGCCTGGACTCCCTGGGGCTCAGCCATAGTCACCTCCCTGCGGCGAGGACGGCCACCACGAGGGCCCGAACGAGGATTGATGATGCGACGGAACGGCCCTTGAGCAATCCCGTTAGTGTAGTCCAAAAAGCATCAAGAATAAAGGACATACCAAGCTTTTTCATGTACTCGACGACATACGGCGTAGCATTTGGAGATCTTCTGTCTCCCTCGACATTCTGGAAATAGTGCTCAACTAGATAGAACTCTGTTAGTATTTCTCATTGTAATCACTAAATAAAACAGTAAGTATCCTTACACAACACAGAGCCAGTGTACCATCGGCGAGCGGTGCCCTGGCGCTCCATTTCCCTTTGCATGTCGACTGCAAGCTCTTCCCACGTTTTTTCGTCGTTAGAAAGGTCGGCAGGGGCACGCTTAACAGAGTGGGCGACGACAGTCTTCCAGAAGTACTTCTCCTCTGCAGGAGACCAAAATTTACCGGTCATGATGAAATAAAGGTGCTGATAAAGAGGTAATGTATGGCGATGGTGTCAATTGCTTTTTGTTGGCTGTGAAAACTAAGAGGTTAGTTGCGGATAAGGAAAAGAAGTCAGACACGGAAAGGTGAATTTGGTCTTGGAATAAGGTTGGTTATATAGAAATGATGATGCCTTGGAAAGTGTGAGAAAAAGATTTGAGGAATGATACAGTCTGTAAGGTACTTACCTATGTGGTTGACAGAGGTACGTAGATGGTTACCTTCTACAGTGCAATGGTAAATGCAGCTGGTTTACCCGCGTCATTAGATAGCAATTGGTCAATGCATGTAAAAAAGCGTTGAGTCAGGAGGCTTAATGCAAAGTACTACGATTAGAGGCCACTGTAAGGCTACTTTTGCAGGGCCTATGGTGAATTAGGCCGTGTTATGCATTTCGGACTGCGCTCAGTGGGTAAACCATCCAATATTATCACGATACAACTCATGTTTAAGCCTAATCTGCTGCAAACTTACAACAGGTAGGAAGGAATGACTAAGAATAATATAACCTATAAGAATGGTTGCATATTAACGTCTGAACGGTGGATCAATGAGTGTATCTCATAATCATATTATCCCAACTGCTACTGGCTGATGAGGCGCTAAAAGTTGAATACAAACTAGGTAGTGCATGCTTAGACGTAAATAGGGGCGTCAAACTGCATGGTATGCATGATAGCTTACAGTGGACCAGTTCAGACGAAAGTACTCCTCCATACCTTAGGCACTAATATAGGTATTTCTCCTTGCGTGGACCCCATGATATTCACTATTTTCAGCTAGCAGGATAAGCAAGCCTTTACTAACAGGGACAGACATCGTGCAGCCGAGGCACCTGTGTACCTTACGTATATAGATTAGGTAGTTAACGAGTCGGATAGGATATCAAGACGTACTTAAATTGCTCAGGGGTTCCCGAAGTCGTCTCATTCTGAAAAGTTTGCCTATGTGTTGTTTTAATGACACGATCATATGAACAAATATGAACATGCTTTAGATCCCTACCGACTTATTACGCTTCTGCGTGAGAAAAGCGTCACCTAAAAGGGTCTAGATAAGCCGTATTCACGCAAAGGGATATATTCAAGATACACATGTGGTGCTCGCATTGTTACGCCATGTGAGAGGAAGATGCTTCGCGAATTTACAAAATTACATGACGAACAACAAAGCTGACTTTCTGTCGTGGATCTGTATCAGTGATATATACAGCGCGATGCTACGAAAATTAAAGGAGAGGATGATTGGTATTCGACGCTCTACTCACATGGCCTCAAAGAAGGAAAGACACTATAACATATAGAAGTAAATATAAACCGTGGCCTGATATACTTTAGACTCAATTCAAAAGGCATATATGAATAAAAAATGCCTATAGAACATCTCTACTAACACATTATCTATACCTTAGTAGTTCAAATGGTAAAGAGAGATTTAGCCAAGGAGCTTAATATCCCCCCTTGCTATTTAGAAGGATAGATTTCCTCCTATATAAGCTTGGGGGATTATAATTACCTGAATGGTTACCTAATATAAGAGAGACAGCCGCTGTCAGTCCTACGGATCTGACCATATAAGTTGAGAGTTGATATAATATACGGAGAGGTTACTCGAATGGGGATAGAGGATCAGAGGCACGGTAACCACGTGCCATTAAAAATGGCCCGAGACGCTGCTCAAATTTAGAGAACTGTTTGAAGTTAGTAGATAAGTTCAAGTATCATGTTGAATGCGAGTAACGTACTACGCTCTTCTTTTCTAATGGTTTAACGCCGTCCATAATCCATAGACCCCAGCTGCCCATCATATTGGCCAACATAATGTCAGTCATTAGACGATCTCCAACGACAGCGATTTGGCTTGGATGCGTTACGCCGGCCTCAGGGTGGGCTTTGAAGTGAGCTAGTATTTCGTCGCTGCAGCCGGGCTTTTTCACTTTATGAGCCAGTACAGAAACTCCAGTAGCCACCTCGAGCTCCTTTGCTAGGCGTCCATCATGGTCATGAGTAGTCGCACCGGCTGTATTGGAAACTACGAGAAGACGATGGCCGGGGTATTCTTCTTGAAGTTTCTGGAATCTTTCCTATTTCAAAAATCAACGGCTGCCACGGACGAAACAAAACGTAAATAATGGTTGACTTTCGGCATTTGCTCACCAAATAAGCAGGGTATATCTCATTGGAATCAGGATAAGCGAAGCAATCGTCTTTGTCGAGTATTACAGCCCTAATATCTATTTTTTTGCCTCGACCTTCGAACGCTTTGCTGAGAGGGGTTGGTATATCATTGAATGTGGAGGCTGTTGCGTGAGGAAGACATAATGAGGGTTTTGTTAGGAGCTTAAAGACGTTGATAGTTCCAGAAAAGTTGAGATTCATGTTAACTGCAGTTAGGATAACGATTCCCGCAAATGGGGAATCGTGTCGGCCTTTATAAAGAGAAAACCACTAAAACAGGTATAATTAACCGTCTCGGAAACCTCCGAGTTTTATTCTGGTAGGTACCAATGCGACACCCGGGTAGCTATGGCCGATTTTGACAAAATCCTGGCAGTTCAGGTCCGGTTCGGTATTATGTAATATTGCGGCTCCAATCGAACTTATCGAAGTTTCCTCCGTCCACCCCCCCTGCAACGGTCCGACGCCCTGGAAAACTGCCCGAATAGTGGATTAAATTGGCCCCTGCCTTTCCAGGGTCTAATGCCTGAGCCCCACAGCAAGGAAATAGCATTGACGCGTCTGTCGCGATCGATAAGTGATAGAAGTTGAAATCATCTCCATCTCTTTTCTAGATTCTTATTCTTCCAATTGTATTTTCTGCAACATTCTCTGGAGTTCTGATATATTTGCCGTAACGCTCTTAATCGCGATGCATTTCCTGTCATAGGTAATTTATAATGGTACGAACCAAGAAACCGCAGCCCGGAGCTGCAGAACCCGGGCCTAGCTCTAGGAGTTCGCTTCGGAAACGAGTTCACCACGACGATCACCGTGAGGATGAAGACCAAAATCCAGATACCCCATCCAAACGGAGCAGCACTCAGATAAAATCCAAGACACGTTCCAACGGTACCACAGATGGCCACCATTCCGCATATGATTTTCCTTCGGACGAAGATGAAATTGGCCAGTCTGTAAAAGAGACACCGAGCAAAAGGAAACGGGCTGAAACGAATGGTGGACTTTCCACTCCAAAAGGTCGAAAGAAAAGCGAGGCCGACGTAGTAACACCCTCAAAGACAAATGGCAGTACCAGCGCGCAGACACCAAGGTGGAAACGGAACGATCGCTCTGCGAGAAAGAAGAGTGCTAGAGCACTGATCGAGCAAGTAATAGGTGGAGATGGGAGTGACGAGGAAGCGGACGAAGATATTGCCAGAGAAATCTACGAGTCAAGTGATGAGGACGAGGAAGAAGAGGAAGACGAAGAACCCCCCCCTGACGAACCTGCAACCCCATCTGGAAAACCTCGACGTGGTCGACCGAAGACAAAGCATACGAAGCGAGCCAGGAAGAAATCACCAACTCCACCCCGAGACTTACCCCCTCACGAGCTCTATTTTGCGCAAAATAGACCTGGCGCCTCGAAGACGTCCGGTAACACTCTAGCATCCTTAAAACTTCTGACCCATGACGAATACTTCTCAATCCTCCGCGACTACCAGGACCCGCATGCCGAAGATATAGAATTCCTCGAATCAATACACCTCGAGTCTTTCCCGCAGTGGACATTCGAGTTGTCTCAGGGGTTTAGTGTGTGTCTATATGGGTATGGGTCGAAGAGAGCGCTTCTGCATAGATTTGCGAAGCACGTATATGACAAATATTCAGATCATGTTGCTAATAAGATTGTTATTATCAACGGATATGTCCGGACGAGTTCTCTGCGGGAAATCCTGGGCACCGTCGCGAGCGCTGTAAACCCCGCCCACAAAATACCGTCTGGAAATCCTTCAGCTATGTTAGATAGCGTGAAAGCTCTACTTTCCTCTCATGAGGTGGTTGTCACAGTGATCTTGAACTCTGTTGATGCTGTTCCTCTACGAAGGGTTGGAATACAGCCCGTCCTCGCCCAATTAGCAGCACACCCGAATATTCGGCTCATCTGCTCTGCCGACACGTCGGACTTCTCTCTTCTCTGGGACAGTAGCTTGCGGTCATCGTTCAATTTTGTGTTCCACGATTGCACGACGTTTGCCCCCTTTACGGCAGAGCTCGAAGTTGTCGACGATGTGCATGAGCTCCTAGGCCGAAAGGCTAGGCGCGTTGGTGGGAAGGAAGGCGTGACGTATGTTCTTCGCAGTCTACCAGAGAACGCCAAGAACTTGTTCCGACTACTCGTTGGCGAAGTTCTAGCGATTATGGATGACGAGGGCGGATCGGACGGGGAGAACCCCGGCGTGGAATACAGGATGGTGTATAACAAGGCGGTGGAGGAATTTATATGCAGTTCGGAGATGGCTTTCCGGACACTGCTGAAAGAGTAAGTTTGCATCACGCCTATTTTGATATAAATACCGGTATTATTCTAACACGTTCGCTTTAGATTCCACGACCACCAGATGATCACAAGTCGCAAGGATGTTCTAGGTACCGAGCTCTTAAGCGTACCTTTCCAGAAGGAAGAGCTCGAGGCGATATTAGAAGACTTAATGTCATGAGAAAAGGATATACATATAGAGGCCATTACGATTATAAGCAAGCAGGCAGGATAAAGGTATATGGTCACCATATAATACGCGTGCACGAGATACCCTTGGATAATTCAGTCGTCCTTATTTTCATTTCTAGCCTCGCCTAATACAGTGTGCTCGCTAGAGTCCGTTCTCTCGACTTCCTTCATGAGCTCGCTCTGCCTATCTAACTTTGACCACTTAGGCTTTCCGTCATGTATATCTATTACGCGCTGGCTGTAGAAGATGTGACATCTAGAGTAAATTGATCAGCATAACCTATACTATTTCCTTAAGGGGCAATGCTTACTGCGGATCGAACAGCTTCTTATGCTCGGCGTCGCTAAACTTAATAATGCCGGGGAACATGAGCACCATATTCCTACCCTCGTCCATGATAGGCGAGTGGCAGTACGCGCAGGACACTTTGCACGGCAGACGGTGCACCGTCGACTTGTCTGGAGAATGGTAGAAAGCGAGGCCCTCGGCGCCCTTCTCGAAGTGTAAATCCTGCTTCTCGAAGATGGCGGCCCATTGGAAGGGAGCGCCGTGTAGGGCCTGGCAGTCGACACAGTGACAGAATTTGACGGCGAGAGGCTTGTCACGCGATAGCCAGTACTTGACGCGGCCGCAGTGACAATGCGCCGTCCATTTCTTGTCGAAGTGCTCGTTGCCGGGCGTAGTGCGGTACGGCGGCTTCGACTTCCAGTCCTCGGTGCTATCCCGGACTGCTCCCGTCTCGGCCCCGGTTTCTGTTTCTGTTTCTGATCTCGTCTGTCCCATGTTCTTCTGCGCGGGGCGAAACCGTATTTTTGACAGCGGTGAGGACTTTGGATGGGTGTGCTGTGCTGGATAGGCTGTGGTGGTGGGTATTAATGGTGATGGCGTAGATGGGGGTTTGGCACAGAGCGAATGATGACGTCGAAGACTGGATCGCCAGGTTCGACTTGGTAGCGCTCGCGGTTTGAGCATTCTTTAGCATGAAAGAACAGAGAATAGGGAGACAATGTTCTTTTCCATTGTGGTTCTATTTAAATACTAGATACCTCATATTGCGGCTTAAAAACTCGCAAGGTCAATATTTACAGTCTAAATATCTAACCTACATTATTGATATAAGTCGTCACTTATACCAACTCGTGTGCCCGTGTAAGAGGTAAGCTTCGTGCCAATACCAAGCTAGCATGGTATATCAATGCAGGGTCCATCAACGTCGCATTGGAACCCTCGGAAGCTTTTGACATCTATCTACGTATTATGACGTTAATGGAGCTCGATCGAGCAAAGTGATTACATGTAAGACGTCGTTGCGAAGAGGACTTTCCGGGGGCATCTTATGCTATCATGAGCTATACATAATATGAGATGAAACTGTTCAAAGATATGATAGTTAAAGTATAGTGTACATAGTTCTATAAGAAAAGCCAATAAAATAATGACGCCAATATGTAGCTTTAACAGCAACCCGCTACCCCGCCGGCATCTTGCAGCTTTAACATCAGCAAATCATACCTCGGCGCCAGGCTAGGCCCCGCTAAATAAGCTCAATCAAAGAAATATCAACGACTCGTTCAATTCAATATTCGAAATACATGATAGATACATCTTAAGTTACACATACCAACGCTACCTTCGGGGATTCATTGGCACGAGACCGGGGGTTAACTCAATCCAACAGCTCCGATTAGTTAGAGAGGGACGAAAGTGTATGTAACCTCATCTTGGGCGAAAAAACTGCGTCGTGTCGTGAAGTGATTTTGCCACCCGGGAAGGATACATACCCGCGATGACATTGCGACAATGCGCGCCCACAAAGCCCTAGAGAGCGACGATGCGAAGGAGGCGCAATGGGAAGCTGCGCGCGGCGCCGCCGTCGGAGCCGTGAAATGGGGCGCTGTGTCTGCCGTTCTAGGCGGTATCGGTTACGTTTTCTCACCACTATATCGCGGACTCACCGTCCAGTTTAAAGTGTGAGTCCGAGGGCCCCAATTGATGTCTTAAATGATATCGCAAATGAGGAGAACAAGAAAAAAGAACTAAAGCCGGACTAGATATCTCCAAATGTCCGGCATGATCGTCGGCAGCATGATCGAGGCCGACTATCGCATGAGGCAGTATGAGCAGCGCATACGCATGCAACGAAGGATAGCTCAGAACCGTGCTGTATGGGCGGACTATGAGAAGGAGTTGATGGAGTTGGAGGACGAAGGAGCACCCTCTCAGCAGAATAAGAAGTGAGATATCAACGATATTTACTGCCATTTCGAGTAACCAGTAGCAGCAAAGCTTGTATTTTGTGCTGTTAGGCCATGCATCTATATTAAAAGCATGTAGATATGTCTTGAAATTTTTCGACACTCCTGTACCAACCAGCTTTCTGAAAGAAATCAGGGAATCATGACCTCGTAAACGCCAGTGCAATGCCATGCAAATACCTCAAGCCATTTCGCCAATCTTCTTTCACATACACCTCTCTCCACCCTCGTTTATAAAGTTATATAGCATATTCTCATTTTGCCTTGGTCTCAAAACGCTTCGGGTCCATATTAATCTTGCATAGCCGGGCGACACACCCGCTCAGCTGTAGTAGGGTCTGGACACCTTCGAGGATCTTCATGTGGGTGAAGCCGATCTCGCGGATAAACTCTAGCTTGGAGTGTTCGCTGAGGGTGGGTATAGTCTTGGTGACCTTGAACATAGTAGATATGATATCATGGCTGGAGTATCCAAGATCCCACAGCTCGCGGAGAGTATCTAGGGCACTATCCACGTTGCCCTCATAGCAGGCCTTAAGCATGGCCTGGACTTTTATAGGGTGGGGGCTATCAACGACCTTGAACACGTTGTCGCCGCTGACGAAGCCGAAACCAGCGTGTGTGCTCTGTAAGTTGTTGATGGCCTGCCGCATATCGCCCTCGGCGCTAAACACGAGCGCTGCTAGCCCGTCGTCGCTGTACTGTACTTTCTCCGCCTCGATAACCTGTAGCAACCGCTTGACTACCTGTGCGTCCGTTAATCGCCCGTATCGTAGGATCGCGCATCGAGACTGTAGCGGTTCGATGATCTTGTTCGACTGGTTACAGGCGAAGGCAAACCGCGTCGTGTTGGAATAGATCTCCATCGTACGCCGCAGCGCTTGTTGTGCACCCGAAGTCATGCTGTCGGCCTCGTCGAGGATTACGATTTTGTGTCGGCCTGCTGGTAGCGTGACTTTCTTCTGAGCAAAGCCTTTGATTCGGTTTCGAACCACGTCGATACCTAGTTAATGGTAGCAGTTAGTGTTACAAGCTCCTGTTACTCTTATATGAAAATTAAGGTGGACAAACCTCGCTCATCACTCGCATTGAGTTCCAGCACTGCCTCCTTATAGGAGTCTCCGAGCAGTTGGCGGGCCAGACATAGTACGCTCGTCGTCTTTCCAATACCGGGCATTCCAGATATGATAACGTGAGGCATATTTCCATCTTTCGCAATAATCTTGAGCCGTTCGATCGTCTCTGTATTTCCTACTACATCGTCAAGGAAGACAGGCCTATATTTTTCTACCCTGTAGAATGTGTGTTAGCGCATGCTTGGTAGTAAATAGACTGGCAGGAAAGCGACGTACCATGGCAGCTCGTAGGTAACATTTCCGTTGGAGGCACCAGTTAAGGCCTTCTTAGCGGCTGAAGTCGAAGACTCGCCTCTCTCTTCCGCTTTTGCTGCTGGCATTGTTGCGTTGCTGCGTTGCTGTGTTATGCTAGAGCGGGTGTAATTGCGGAAAGACGCCGGTGGGAATTTAATTAGCGGGATACAAAATCAATTTACGCGTGTTTGCAAACCGAGACGCGTCTAAGCTTTTAAAATGGCCCAAGCTTCTAAGGGTGCTTTTGGTGGGGCATACCTACGCCTTATGCAATAATGCAAGGGGCAATATTTGTTTATAGTATTTAGACATATAACGAGGGATCAATATCATTAATTCATATTTCATATCTTCTTTACTTCGTACTGTATGCCAATTCAGGGTCCTAAATTATCCGTTCTAAGTAAATTTAAGTCTAGGAACTACCTATAGAAGAAATCGATCCTTCTTCATCATATCATAGATATCCAACGGTTAGGTACGGTAATCACCATTGATAGTGCTAGTGGAAATCATCAGTATGCATATTTCAGAAACGGTTTGTACCTCACTTACATGTACTCGTGACTATAATCGCAGGTCCAGTAAGTAGCCTCCTTCTTACCGGTTCCCAATCTCACGAGGATCTCGAGGTCCTCAAACTCGAGAATCTCCGCTGCTCGGGTCTCATCGACAATTTCCGGCTCGCCGTTGACGAGGAGCTTCAGCTCCGGGCTCCCGTCTGTGGGGACGAAAGACACATTGGTTTTCTCGGGTATTATTTCCGCCACGTCATTGACGGCTTGTCCAGGCTCGCTGATTAGTGAGTAACCAGTAGCGCAGAGGATTCGACCCCAGTTAGCGTCTTTGCCGTAGAGCGCTGTTTTGACAAGAGGTGATCTTGCAATGGTGCTGGCGATCTTTCGAGCACCCTCTTCGCTTGAAGACTCAGTTACCCGGATGGTAACGAATTTGGTAGCACCTTCGCCATCCCGCACGACGAGCTTAGCCAAGTCAGTCGCGAAGTCAGTGACAACATCTCGGAATGCGATAAAATCGGCCGAATCTTCCGTAGTTACCCCCTGACCTCCTGCAGCACCGTTTGCCAGTAAAGCAACCGTGTCATTGGTAGACGTGTCTCCGTCAATTGTGATGCTATTAAAAGACCGATCTACAGCATACTTGAGAATAGGCGGGATGATAGAGGGTGAAATGGGAGCATCGGTGGCGATGACACCTAAGAGCGTTGCCATATTCGGGTGAATCATCCCAGCGCCTTTAGTCGTTCCAGCAATGCGGTACTCTACTGATGGCGAAGACGGTAGACTGAAAGTTTTTGAGATCAATTTAGGGAATGTATCTGTCGTGCAGATAGCTGTGGCACATGTTAGCCAGTGTTTATGGGTATCGCCAAGCCCTTCGTAGGCTTTGGGAACCCCATCCAAGATTTTCTGAATCGGTAACCTAGAAATCAATCAGAATAAAAGAAGGTTATGGATGTGACATACGTTGTAGAGTATAGTTACCTTTGGCCAATCACGCCGGTACTCATCACGATTGTTGCCTTGTCAGCTCCCAGTGCCTTATCGGCCTCTCTCGCCATCTTTTCAGCATCTTCAAGGCCACCCTTTCCAGTTACGGCATTTGCACATCCCGAATTGATAATAACACCTCTAATCCCAGAGTTTTTCTGCTCCTGGAGCAGCGACCGGCTGAAAGTTACCGGTGCAGCTTGGAACTTGTTCTTGGTGAAGACGGCCGCTGCAGCACATGGTGTGCTTGAGGTGATGAAAGCAAGGTCGGGTTTGGTTGTATTTTTTGGCTTAACACCAACTATCGTTCCCGAAACCTTGAATCCTTGCGGATAAGTACCGCTAGTTGGGACATATTTCCTCTTTGCAGCAGGAATGCTTCCACTGACAGGAGCTGAGTAGAAACGAGCACCCGGGACTTTGGTGGTCAATTGACGCAATTGGCTGGAAACCCGACACAACGAGCTTTGAAGAGCCATGGGAAACATTCGACCGTGCCCAAATAAAAGAACGACAGATCGAGTTTCTCACGATGAACTCTTATAGGGCAATTGAATTAAGAAAGCGGATCGATTTTGACTCATACTTGGCGGTTTTTTAACTGCCGAACGGTATGAGCCGCTGAGGGGTGCTGCCACGTGTCGAGCAGGTGAGTACAGCTGTCAACGGACCGTCCTTAAGTAGGTACTTATATCCCCCTAAGCGTATCTCTACATAGGTAATGCTTTAGGTGCAAAGGCAGAAAGGTTAGCGTTTTTGTCTTTACACAAGTCCATGCTGCTATCAAAAGCATCAACCACGCCCCATTAAAGTTCTCACGTAGCGTTATAATCCGAAGTTAGCTTATTTATAACAAATTACTCAAGTGCAGTTCATGTCTTTAGTGTCATTCGTCATTCAGCCTGCTACTTCTAACACGAAAGTACTTTAGTCACGTGTATAAGCACTTACAGGCTACATCTATAACAGCAGCTGACTAGAATAGCCAGGATGCATACGACTAGTCACGGTGAATTTGTTCATTATTTTGTGCAGATACGTGCGATGAAAGTCTTTATTATAACCGTGATTGAAAATAACGCAAAGGCAAAGCTATAGCACAGTTGAAGTCATGTTCCTAATTGAGGAAAGACAGAAAACCACTTCTCTGATGGTTGCATGCAAAAGATCAGAAGATCAAAAGGCCCTAAAAAGAGCCGTCAATATGGACGTTGCTACGGCGGTAGCTACTATATCCATTTCACAAAAGCAGGCTTGAACACTCTTCGACTAGTAACTCTGATGCATATCACCGTTGTGAATTCGAATATGTCGGTACAGCTCGTGGATGTATGAATGAGGATGGCTACAGCCGGGCCAGTGGCAGATTAAATCGCCAGGCTTGTCGCCTGTCGATGCTATAGTCTGGTGATCTTTTAGGTGTTCGATGAGCTCCTCGGTACTGATGAACGTCTGAGTACAAGCCCCCCAATAGCAACGCGTACCGATATGAACCGTTCTCTTATGACACTTTAAGATAGTCGGCCCCTTGAGGAGCTTTCCGCAAATATCGCAGGGCAGGTAGGGAAGTTCTCGGCGCTTGGTGGCTTTGGGCTGGGGCTGTTGTGGGCGGCCCGTGAACACCTTGTCGGTAGCATTGTCCGCTTCCACTCTTGCTTGGTCAATGTTGTGAATTTCTGCCAGCCGCGCTGGAGGGAGGCTTGGGAGCGGTGTTCGTCCCTTCTTTCGGGCTTTCTCTTGCTAAGAGAGCTCGTCATCGGGAACGCCACCGGTCGGATTGCCGGTCGGCGACGAAATAGGGGGAGTTTCTACAATTAAACAAGTGTTAATGGGTTTATATCCCCAGTATTAAGTATATTTTGTAAGAAATAGTACATAATATACAGGGTTTGAGACTGGTAGAAAGGGAATTTTAGGTAGTTTAGGGGAACTCACCCTCAGACATCTTTGTGCATGACCGATTCAACTTGGTCACCTAACTTAGTATTGCTTCAAATGTAGGTGTGGCGAGTGATTGCTTGCTGAAGATAGGAGACCATACTCCGGCGACGAGTAGGATTTGGCGTTTATCGCAAGTTGTAGAAAGAAAAGGAAGACGACCTTTTGCTCCTGTCGGCGAAAAATCTAATAGAAATCTGAATAGCCTCGTTACTGTAGTGGCGGCAACTCCTGAGAAGTTTGCAACTGCCTACGGAAACGACGACTGCCTAAATTACAAACAAGTACCTGCTACTACCTACAACCCCTGCCGTTACGACCTAGAGTATAGCGAAAAGGAGTACCCACGTAGCCATACGAATAATAGGCTGGTGCCTTAGGTGCCTAAGGTAACTTGGAGGTAAGTACCCACCTAGTGTAGGTACCTAATTAAAGGCCCTGTATCTACGGTGCTTAGGTAGAGAAGGCTGTGAACGAAGTAGTCGTGAAGGCGGCGCTGCATGGCAACGCGGTGACGGTCAGAACGCAGGGCATACATTAGGAGGTACATACCTCCTACGGTACCAACAATACTACTAGCAGTATGCTTTGTAGCAATGTATTTCAGAGAATGGAATACCTTATAAGCAAGAGAGGAAAACTACCCCAGAGAGACACTAAAGTACGAGTTTGAATAATTGTATGGTTTCTACAATATGGCTAGGTACCTATGTACATCAAGAGAAAACAATGGTGAATTAAGCAACTTTATATTAGTTGATGTCTCTTACTAGGTACTCACATCTTCTAACCGTTATACTTTCAAGTAATTAATTTAGATACCACTAATATATGGCTCTTGTATTTTTCTTAAGCCTTGGTAGGTGAACATAACAATAATCTCAACAAGATAATATAGGGGTAAAAGCTTTAGCAAGACGATATCACCTTTTTAGCTACTAGTATTCTAGAAATTAGTACAATACTTTCTATAGCAGACCTAATAAGCATAATAAGTTCATGATTTAATAGAATACACAATTTTGACTCAAGTATATACTAAGTTATATTTGATTACCCTAAGTTCCTTAATAATTTACCTGTCTTGCTCTTAGTATTATTCCTTATCCTCCCTAACTTAACACTATGTTCCCCCTCAAGTCCGAGAACCCGAATTGTATTAAATTGTCTACTTCTTTATCTTGTAGATTGCTGGTGCCTTTTAGAATGGGAGTAGTATCAGTTGTGATTATTTGTGCAAATGTCTGCCACATATTCCCAAGCTCTGACTTGTCGGTAAACAAGGAAAATAACAAAATAATAGTGGCTATGATTCACAAGTGACCCGCAATGATGGTTATAGCGGATGGCGATTTGACATTCCTTCTAAATGACTGACAAGAAAGATATCACAACAAGTATCATCAATGAGCTAACTAGTATCATTATAAGGCTAAACACACCAAACCATTCCTATCAGCCTTTGTGTGTGGAGTCGTATCACACGATGTGAATATCATGATGGTCGTCCGGATGCTTTGCGCTAGCTATGTCTACGAGAGGCACAGCATCTTGAGTGCTCCCATCTTGCAACCAGTTTATACCGTAAGCCATTTTGTCTCAATGGTTTATTAATTTGAAGAGGACATTATGAGAAGTCTTCTCCGTTCCTGGAATCCAGCTCTTGTAGTGCTCAATACCGTGTTGACAGCTCCCTGCCAGCCTGTTAGCCTTCTAAACCGTTGCCCCGAAATCTCCACGGACTGAAGGGATGCGAGGACGATACTATCTGGGTACGTTAGGAAGTAATGATGCTATACTATTATTGACTTAGTTTTACTAAGCTAGTTATACTAGGTTAAGGTGTGGCACAATGACTTCTGATTGGTATATTTTAACGCTGATCTATATGACTGACTACACACATGTAAGCTGCTGAGAAAGCCGGCGGTGCACTATACCCGGTTGCCAAGAGCGCCAAACTCGGATTACTTTACATACCTAACGAAGGAAATCTAGGGGGCTAATTTGTTCCGTTCAGAAACCATATTCTTCAAGACACCGAATCGCTTCAGGCTCTGCTTCCGTCATTTTTAAAATTTCAGTGTCACATTCTACTCATCCGCTGGCAGCAGATCGGGTTAGGGACCTCTATTGTAATGTGAACATGTGAATTTCCAGCTTATGTAGACCATCACCGGGACAAAGACTATTTATAGATTTTACGACTAGTGATTTGTTAGATAGCATTACATTGTCTCTCTTAACCTGATTCAAACTCTTACGGATAACTACCTAATATACAGCATCAAGTTAAGCCAAGAGGATGGATCTACGCCTTGGCGGTCATAGATGTGCCGCAGAGCCCTGCCCGCTCATTCTTCTCTAATCTAGGATAGCACCATTTCCTTATTTCTTAGATGCCTATAAAAGGATAGACAACTACTTAATAAAGAGAAAAAGAAAGTTAAAGAGGTGATAGGACTTTGGGAAATAACATCTATCTCGTATCATTACAATACCAGTCAGAATGGATTCATCACTGGCTATCGACGCGTTAAGGCACGCTATCCCAGATGGTCAATTCTCTCTTCGGGGTACGGCAGAGTACGAAAACTTGAACTCTTCGTATCTTTCTCAGCTAGAAAGCGATCTTAAACCAGCTTGCATACTTCAACCCCGATCTAAACAAGATGTGGCTGCGTTCGTGAGGGCAATCCAGCCTTTTGCCTCAAAAGGAGACACCAAATTTGCCGTTCGTGGGGGAGGCCAACAACCAGCGCCCAGTTGCGCCAATATCCAAAATAGTATCACCGTTGACCTAGGCCTTATTATAGCCGCTTCCGAAATATACAAGATAGCACTCGAACCTATTAAGCTGGTAGAAGGCTTAAGGTGCTCCTTCACTCTCCAACCATATCCTGTCTCGCTACTAGAAAAGTCAGCTCAGAATGGGGGTAATTCCCTGGGTCTAAATGCAGCTAACGGACCCCTCGTATCAGTTTTACTACTTTCTTATTGGCAAGATGCCGAGGATGATAAGAGGGTTTTAGAGATGATAGTTGCGCTCGAAAAGATCAAGGCAGAGGCATCTGACAAAGGTAAATTGGTACCTTATATATATATATATGAATTATGCATTCGTCGACCAGGACCCTATTGGATCTTACGGCGAACGCAATAAGGGGTATCTTGTGGAGGTCAGCAAGAAGTACGACCCGGAAGGCCTTTTTCAGAGAGGATGCCCAGGGGTTTTTAAACCACATCACTAAAGAGAAGAAGGGTCCTATGCCCATAGTATATGAGTAGATAGGTCTCAACAACGAAGAAAATATGGGCTCTTCATATCCTAAGAATTAGATCAAACAAACTCTATAGCTTCTAGTCACTATTTTTTTGAAGCAATTCGTCAAGTATTAGTTTATTCCATACTAAAGCCCTACCAACATAACTAAGGAACATGCACAAGCTCCTATTCCTAGATCCCTCCCTGCACTATTTCTTCCCACATATCGAACGTGTGACTAATGTTTTCAATGATTCCATCACTTTCGTTCTTAACCTTATCCACGTTCCGAAAAAGCACCCATAGCAGGATGGTTGCCCCACCTAAAAGTACGGACAAGATAGCATACATCGTGACCAAGTGAGGATCCATGGTCAGCGGCGTAAATGCAAGGGCTAAGCACGATCCAAACCCGGCCATGGCGAGCCAAATGGATTGGACTAGCGTCTTCATCCTCTTAGGGGCATGGTTATAGGCATATTCGGTACCCGTGGTCAAGCACAAAACTTCTGCCACCGCGCCTCCGAAGTAGATTGGGATTTGAAGAAAGACCGAAATCTGGTTAGGCACGGTACGATTAAGAGCAGCCGAGCACGCTAGCGGCGTGTCATAGCACGGCCCTGCCTGATATACAAGCTTTTGAACTATGGTTGCGTAGACCATAGAAAGGGTCAGAACAGCGAATCCAACTGACATACGTGCAATCGGACTAAACGAAATCTGTTTCTTTGTAAGGAAAGGATATAATCCTTTCTGGATCATGGGCGCGACGACGATACCGGAAATGGCCCCGGCAATTTTTATCATGTCATTTGGGATGCCGTATGTGACCATTTGCCCAGCCTGAGAGATCAAATTGTTGAATGTCTGATTGTAGCAGAGCCAGTGAATAGGGAAAAGGAGCCTGCCACACTAACATTAGATGATGAAGCAGAATATTTGGAAAGATCCATACGTACAATACTCGGCAGGTTAGAAGGCTTCGCTTAATATCCTCGATAAAAGAGTCAGTCCATGTGACTTGACGACCATGTTGGAGCTGGACGTCCGGTTTTGCAGCATCCATTTGGAAGCCTCCGGCTATGCCATAGCGCAAGGCGGACACCACATCAGGCATGATGTTACCTGTTGGGGATTCCCGAACTGGAAAGACGTCAGTCAACCATTATAATGTACTAGCTAATGAAACTGACCAAAGTAATTGCGACCGAGAAGAATCGGGATCAAGGCTAGCCACATGCAACAGCAAGGAATTAAGTATGCGACCCAAAAACCAACATATTTCTCTAGCAATGGCGTGGAATCGGCAAAGAAACCCACTACATTCACGGCCTAGGTATATATCCTGTTAAACTCCTTTCATTCAAAAAAATGAGTATATTCCACGAACCAGTAAAATGCATTATAGATATACGTAATAGTCAACTCTTGACTGGTAACAACCTTCTCACCCGTCTTCTTAGTGTAGATCCGAGGCTCGGTTTGCTCGTACTGGTCGGCTATAAGAGATTAATGCAACGTTCCCACAAAGTCCGGATGTTCCTACTCACCAATAAACGGGACCACGGTAGTTTTGAATGCCCCTGATCCCACAGCCAGCAGTATACATGCGGGGATTACGCCACCGAGAGCAGCTCCCCCGTGAATAGCAGCAGGCAGTGAAGTCGCGAATAGAATTGTTGCCCCGATACATTCAATGCTAGCACATTGTTAACTTAAATTCTTGGCTAAAATAAACTGCATGAAGGGAGGAATGAAGGGGACTAAGATAGGAATTCCACTATACATAGCAGCATAGAGCATGGTTTTGTAACGACCAAGCCAGCTATCAGCAACAACAGCAGCAGGAACAGGGGTAATGTAAGACCCGATAATGAGCGCATTCACGATATTAGATGCGGATGCCTGTCCTAGACCGAGAGCCCTGGGACTTCGCCTCCGGGAGCGTTTTGAAGGTAGTTCTCTGTAAAAATAGTCAGCAAATTATACGTCTTACACTATATATTAGATGAATCACTCACGCAAAGGGGCAGTCGCCCCATACCATACAAACCGTTCAAGGATACCGGCGAGGCAGGCCACCCAAAGCTTGGTGGGAATTCTGTCGACGACGTTGAGGAGATTGCGTACTTCGTCTTCAGTCATCGGATAGTCGGTGACCGAAGATGGCTGGTCATTCTTCTCACTAAGGGCTTCAGAACGCTTTTCTGCCTCTTTAAACGGAGCAATAAAGCTTGCATCAGTAACAATGCTCACGTCAGTATGAGGAGCCATCACCAACCGTTGTTGTAAATTAGGCTCTACGGTGATCTCCGTAGAGCAGCGAACGTCGAACACGTGACCCGACATTTTTACCCCTTTTTCGAGAGAATACGTTGATCAAGGGTAGAGGGTTTCGACGATATCTTGTTTCGTTTGCCAGAGGTTGATACAGAGGAGTGTGACTATAGAAAGAAGGTTTAGAATCGTTGCACGACACTGTAAGCGCAAACAGAAGAGCAATGGATAAAACATGTTAGATATTCGGGGACCCAGGGATATATATATTCGGTACCCCACCGGTAAAGGATTGAAGCGTAATCTTGGCCTATCATAATCCATGTTATAGTTCGAAAGAGAAGATACGACGAAATTGTGAAGAAAAAAGAGACTAACTACATGAAGCAATCGTGCTTTACATAATTGTCCTCAAGAATATTGACAATGGTATAATCCTACCTCAGATTTCACCTTCAAATTTGCTTTCTAAATAGCCCTTTACCGGCACCTTCCCATTCATATCAATACAGGAGGGGACATTCTGTTTGATCTAAAGAGTATATGGGAATTTATGAACGTCAGCTTTAGTGTGTAGATCTTTTAAATTCTATTCAACTTATGAAACTTCCATGACAATTCCCAGTGTAGGTTTTAACAGCAAACATCAAGTAGGTATGTATCGTCTACAAGTCTAACATGCAGATTATTTCGCTATCATAACATATCGTACATAGATATCGCTAATGCATCTCCCTCTTTCCCACCCCCTTTTCCAAACACAAGACGCTTTAACATTTATCATTTTTAGCATATGAGTCCCAGTGTTCCGATCGAGCGCATTCCAAGCAAGGGATCAATTTTGTCGAGACAGAATGGCCGTCGTAGTAGGTTGATATGATCGTAACGGAGCATGCCGGGGCTGGATCCGAGGTACCCATGAGATATTACTCCTGCAATGTCGGGGCTGGGCGTGTGAAGGTAGTGCTTGGAAGCGGAACCTCGCCAGCCCGCCACGCGAATTCCGTCTTGTTCGGGGCGATCCTGTTATCGGCAACTTCCCATCTCTCGAGACTATAGAAAGCGTTCGCGCGTTCATGGATGTCTGCGATGCATAGTATAACTGAATGGTCGGGTGCCCAACTCAGAGTAAGTGTGTGAAGGGGATCCGGCTGACAGATCTGGTCGACGAAGAGAGTCGTCGAGCTGGGAGTTCCTCTCATATTGAGGTAACACTGAACTGTCTCTCCTGATCCGTGTTTGTGCGTGAAGAAGCTATACTGACAGGTTTTAAGGTCGCATGTAATAGTGCTGTTATAGAGCGTCCAAGTGTCCAAAGGCTGGACATCCTGCCCAAGAACGGCGACAGCGAAAGCTAGGATGGAGAAGCGCATCTTGATTATAGCAAATTTACTTGATCAAAGCACGTAAAATGATCGAATAAGTGCCTTGAAAAGTCGACCTACTGTTATATTTATATTCTAGAAAGCTTAGAGCTTCTTGATAAACATAAGCAACATTTCTCCGTAAGGCGAGGGGCCTTTTTGAGGAAAGTCTATTACTGAACTTTTTCAACTTATCTGAGTTTAAAGATACCTCCTAATTACCTCACATAGCTTAGGTAGCTAATATGCGCGAAGGTGCCTCTAATAGGGGTGGTTTGCTTTAGCCGTTAAAATAGGTAGTAAATTAGATTCAGCAGAAACTTGGGGCGTCTAAGTTCTGTAAGTTAGACGGGTTGTTCTTTAGTGGCGTCCTAAATACAAATCTAGAAAGTCTTGTCCTGCGAACGGTCGTATCTGAAACCTACAGAGCTATAGTGGATGATTGCATATGTGGTCGAATGTCACTATAGTCTATTAGTGATATCGGAAATAGTTTTTATCTTCAGCAGTAACCATTGCTTATAATAGAAAATAACATTAAAAATAACATTATTAATTAACTACCAATACTTAGGTAGCTCATAATGTAGATTTAGAAACCATTCTCTAAGTCTATCGACCAAAGACTAGTAAGATAATCGTCAATAAAATTGATCAGAATATGATTGAAGGTCAAGACAGAATCTTTATGAAATGCAAGAGTTGTTCTAGCCAATTAGACTCAACGGTTCTTTTCTAGCTCTTCCCAACTTCTATGTAATAACTTAATCCGTACAAGAGCGGGACACTATGCCGCTAGCCGCATCACGTGCTTCTACGTACTAGTGAAGTGGGGCGTATGAGGCTAGATTGAAGCTTACATAAGGTATTGAACTAAGTATTTTTTCTCGCTCAAACTTGACACGGAACAAAAAATCTTCTTTCTTTCACCTTCTATTCCTGTCATTCCTCTTCCGACCGAGGTAGATTTCCAATTGGCCAACCATGCAAACGGCAGCGCTGTCTGCCTCCCCGTGTGCCGTGCCACCATCTTCGTCATTGCCACCTTGAGGCTCTTGTAGTCGTGTTGAAAGCATACGTGTCTTTGCTGCTTTCTATTTCTTCACTGCAATAGGAACTGCAAAACACCTCTATTCCTACCAACATCTCGTAAAAAATTTCATACCTGAAGCAGTTGACTGAATACCTATCCTTAAAATACCGCAATCATGGCGGACATGGTTAGTGTCTACATGAGCACCCCTCCGATCGCCAGGTTAGTCGCATTCTCGCTTCTGCTTCGATAACTTCACAAACCTAACAGTATCTTAATAGGACGATCGCGACGGCGGTGTTCCTCTGTTCTGTAGGAGTCTACACAGGCATGCTAAATGCCGAGCCCTTCATCTTCCACTATTCGCGGCTCATCCAATTCCCACCCGCTTTATATCTAATCGTAACGAGTTTCCTTTTGACAGGACCTGGGATGGCTGTGTTGTTTGATACCTACTTCGTTTTCACATATCTGAGCCAGCTCGAGACGGGTAACTCAAAGTTCTCGAAGAAGGAGGACTTGATATGGTACCTCTTCTTCATCGCTAGCATTATACTGGTAGGTCATATCTCCTTACCGTCCGTAACCCATCACCTGTTTAAGAGATGGATCGTCTCTTTCACCAAAAACTTTATATATCTACCCTACACCCTAAAACACCTCACATATCTGCCCGCATAGTGGATTTCCTCTACAGCTATGACGGTTCCTGGAGATGAGGAAGATCACCCCTGCACTGTGGCTGGCCCGTCATTCGCATACCTCATTTAGGGTCAGTCCGGAGTGTGGGCATGGTGGGATGTCTAATTGGATGACTCGAGCAATGTCTTCGGACGCGTTTGCTCGGGTGGTTTGTAGCGCCCTACATACTTAGCCCTAGTTCCTATAATCTTGACATTGCTTCGAGATAGGAGCAGTTTGCTAACTAGCGCATTAGCCTTTGAATGCTCTCTTCACAGGTGGCTTCGTGTTACTACAAGCGCTGCTTATCGCATTGTGCTACACGGCGACACAGGATCAGCGAGGGATGAACGCACACTTCTACGTTATCACTATTCCCGCGCAACTTATGCCTTATTGCCTTCTGGTCGTACAGCTTCTTTTCCCGAACGGCTGGGAGAATTTGAAGATTGGATTGACCGGCCTAGTCGCCGCTCATCTCCACGACTTTCTCACTCGGATATACCCCGAGTTTGGACATGGTCCAAATCTAATTCCCACGCCGCGGTTCCTTTCATGGATCATGAGCACGCCTCGTGTCCAGAATGCTGTTTACGGGCAGTCGGTTTCCCCCTCTACCGGTGGAGGAAGGACTGGTCCTCTGCCAGATTCGTGGCGGAGTCAGGGACCTGGACGACGTCTGGGTTAGATGCTACGGATTTAGATAGACCAATAGTAGTTTGTCCATAGGGATGAGTCAATACAAAGTACCTAATAACCTAATTACCGTCTTATTACCGGGCTTTTGTTTCCTTTCTTTTGTCTTGTAATATATGACTAGGAGGTAGTCTATATACAATATTCCACGCTATCTGAGGTCCGATTACCAACGCGATGGACAGCTTGTTACGTCTAGTAACTGTAAGATAGCTTCTGTATGCGCCATACAATTAAGTGCATCGTCTCCCGTTCGTTTCCCATTCAATGCTATGCCATTCCAGTTTTCTAATACCTCGTCCCAAGCGAAGCATCCAGAACGCCATCCCTAATATTACCAAAAGTCCCTTGGGTATCTATGCAGATGTATACACCCATACATAAATCGTACACAATACGGGTTTAACCGTAGAAAGAGCTATTCCCTGTCCTTACGTTCAGATTCTCCCCTAGCCGCGGTGGCGGTGCGACTTGCTGCTCAAGGATATCCGTGGAGGACGTAATATACAGTCCACGATCCTGAAACCGCCGCTCGTGTATTGTCAGCGGCTTCGATATCTGCGCATCGCCGCCAGGCTGCTTCTCTTGTGTGTCGGCCGGCGTCGCGCCCTGTAAAGATATCACCGGCGGAGAGTACTTCTTTGGTACCCTAATATGTGGTACCGTGGGCATAGACAGCGACGGAACCTTATTGTGGCGAGCTGGGGGAGGGGGGAGTGGGACTTGAGCTACGGGTTGGGGGTTCTTTAAGAGCCTCGTCGTTGCAGAATCCGCTGGAGAGGGTGATCGGTTCGAGGTTCGAGATGGGGGGTGCGATGGCGGTGGTGGTGGTGGTGGTGGGAGATGTATCGAAACAACGTCTTCGACCGCGTTCAGATATTGCTGCATGACGTACGAGTCTGGTGCGCGATACTTCACAGCTGCTGGAGGCGCGGGGGAAGCCGTTCTAGAAGGACCTCGACTCGTATTTCCGGGAATGTAGGCAGGGTGAGTAGGAAGTTGTCGTGGATCTAAGTTGTAGTTTGTCCGCCGCGCCGCCATCTCCTTTTCCAGGTCGTAGTAATTAGCGTTGTTTGTGTATGCCCTCTGAGCCTTGAGCTCGTAGTCGCTTATCATTGATACAGAGGGCTTGCTATCATAGGATGCAAAGGCTCCTTTGCTCGGTGCTGAGATAGAGCCACTTCCTCCCCGAGGATCGTAATCCGAACCCATGGCATCGCGCTCCCGGGCCTTCTTTTCGCGGCGATGGTGAACTACGAAAAGTCCCAGGCTACCAAGAAATAGTAGCGCCCCTCCAACAGCGATGCCCACTATGGCACCAGTGGTCATCGATGTCGGATTTGAGTCATCAGTCTTCGACGTATCAGTGCCATTACCACTGTCATCAGTAGGCGGCGCGGTGATTTTTATTGGAATATCAGAGAACAGTGTTCCCGAGAAACCAATTAAGCTACCCGGCGCAGGAGTCTGTTCGCAACCAGCTTGTAGAGCAATGAGAACTATTATCCGTTAGTCAGTCTCGTTTACCTAACAACCGGATATTGATATAGATCATACAGTTAGCTAAGTAAGCTTGGTTATCGCTTGCTTGAAAGCATTGGTAGCACGCCTCAACAGATTCGCTCTTGAAAGCGCCATTTCCCGCTGTGCAATATCCGAATTCTGACGCATTGTTCGGGTTTGATATGCCATATTGGAGCGACTGGGCCAGAGGGGCACACCCATAATCAATATCGCACGGGGACGAGATGGCCTTTGGGGCATTTGGAGAGCCAAAAACGCATACATCGACGGCATATCTCAAGTTGTCTTTTAAGGCCCATGTCAGTCATTACGGTCATATATGGAATATCATAACTTAGGTTGCAATCTCACATAGGAACCAAGAGACATCACTCTCAGAGCCGCTAACAGCATTGCTATCTTTTAGACAGCTGAGACAGTTTTCGAATTTGATACCAGTTGACGAAGAACCATAATCGCTATCGAGACAAGTGATATCTGACGAGTTCGTTGACGATGCTGCCGGGTTTTGTGTATTGCCATCCTGGTGGTCTAAGCACACTGCAGCACACGGTGACCCTGGCGTAACTTGGAGAGAGTTGACAAAACCGAATAGCAGAAGTAGTACACCAATATTCAGGACTGAAGAGACCATTTTGACGGATATGACGGTCTGTGGTTGAAGAAATCTAGGGCAGGCGGAGTGATAGGGATGTTATGAGGACGGGGTTCCTATAGGGTTGAAGAACGCATGGCAAACCTCCGAGTACCACGATCCACGATCCACGATCCACGATCTACTTCTGTAGACAAGATCCTCTCCGAAGTTCAACAGTAACAGGCTCTGCCAGTGGATAACAATATCCGTAAAGAGTATGAGGCTCAAAGCCCGCCGTGTTGGAGGGTCTCCATCTCATATATGACCGTCTACCTCAGCCCACCCCGCATCCCACCGCAAGGCAAGCGGCTGCGCGGAGATGACGGAGGTCGAACATCCTGTTCGCTCGCAGGCAATTTTACACTTGTGCTAAGTAAAGAGTGCGTCTAAGAGCTTGCCTATGTCCGTTTGTGGAGAATGTTTCTGATAATAGTACTGGATTTTCTTTGGCCAGAAAAAACGGCCACAGACGATCCAATGGGACGGCAACAATACCCTAGCCAACGGGACTGGGCAAGTGAAGACGAAAGCTTGAGAGCGGCCAATATGCCGGCCAAGGAGTCCGCTTTGGCAGGTCTTCGCAAGCCTCTGAGCAATGACAAGGTCCGGGGATGGGCAGGCGACAAGACATGTAGCCAATAACAACAGAGCGGGAAGAGGTAGAAGCGCGAAATGTAAGCCAAGTCGATTCGTTGGTATTGATTGGCCAACTGCGTACGGGGGGAGGTTGGGGCTAGCCCAAGAAGAGACAAGGGTATGAAGAATGATAGGCTATCATGTAACGATGCCAGACAGATCCAGCAGGTTTGGTAAACGCCGGCCAGAGAAGCGGCCGGCCGGGGTCCTCAGCTTTAATGAACTTGATGACCCCTCGTAGGACTCGTTTAAGACATTCTATAAACGCTCATGAGCACGAGCCCGCGAAATAGCGGATAGAACGAGCAGAACGGGAAACTCAAGTTAGATTACCACTTGGGGTCATGGCTCCGCTAGATTCATGAGCTATAGCTATATTCTTCAAACCTAGGTAATAATTGAAATTACCTAGATAACCTACCTAAGGTAGGTAGATAGGACAGAAACTGAGAAATTCGAGAAGATGAGAGCCTTGATGCAAATATGGCAAGGCTTGCCCGACCTCGCTGCCTCAACGCGTTTAATCAGCTCATTTATTTTGTTGGTGTAAGATTTAGTGTAAATGTAGGACAACCACGAATAGAATCTAAACGCGTATGTACTACATATGCACGTAAAGTGATAGCGGCTGCATTGCAGATGCAAGAACTGCAGGTGCATTCTGACCCGACCTTGCCTCTTTTAAGATGCGCCGAAGCTCCACTCATTTTCGGCACGGGATCCAGTTTTTCCGGAATATCTAATCTCATGTCCGGGCACTACGCGACTTTAAGAACCATTTTTACATCTTCAAATTGACGGGATTGGATACCTATCCATCATTAAAACCAGGATGACGTTTTCTCCCTGCAAAGGATGATCATTGCCTTATAAGAACCGTTGCTCAACGGAGCGAATGTTGAAACACAAAATATATATCATCGGAGTCGATCGCTACCTTTTCATGCTACGTTAGCAAGTAAATATCGTGGCTCTCTATTTAACACCGTCCTTGTTTGTCAACACTTATCCGAGTACATAGTAGGGATCATCGTGTGCATACAGATTCTGTTAGACATTAATATCCCGATACCCTGCTGCCGGGTGAATAGTGCCTGTTCCCTTACTTCGGCGCTTAAACTTGAAGCTACGCAGAAGATTGCGCGCGGGAACTAGCCCAAAAAGACGGCCTAATCGCGCTTAAGTAATATGAAGGGGTTAGCTTCTCGCGCGAATGATATCGATACATCCCTGCTGTCTTTACCGTCTGTCGGGTTACCTACCCAAACGCCACTGGACCCGAGGAGTCGCATAGGTTGGTCGTACATGATAGATTACCGGACGTAAATTTACGATCGTAACTATCTAAATTCCAGAATATCCTCAGATATAAAGAAGGGACTGCCGCTATCCATCCATGCTTTGCAGAGTTTCATATTAAATATTAAAAGATTAGGAGTCGTTTATTCACCTCACATGTCATCTCTTCTGATACCTTGGAACGAAATTCTTCCATTACATCTCTTTAGCGTCTTCTATTGTGCCGCACGGCTACTGAGGAGTACGACTAGCTGCTCTACTAAACAGAAATATCTATGTGAAATTCCCACACGGCCAAATAGATAGAGTAGGAGGATATTTATCTACCTAATCCACGCTAATTCATATCTACGGCGTTCCAACCTGCGCGGTTAGCCGTCAAATACAAAACTACTCGATCGATGTGCGTAATATCTTTGAACCCCCTCGTCTGCATATGAAGATGTAGGAAGGCAACCCTTGTGGTGCCACGTTAATGTAGATTCGAAGTGGTCAATCCATTTTGTGAACTCTAAGAGCGGAATGGGCTTACGCTACTGCACTATCGTATGGAGTTGGCTAGCTCAGGCTTTCTATGTCCCGGCCTTGCCTTTTACGATGACCTGCAGAATGTAGGCTGTTGACTCGTGGATACTATCCTCACTTGATATTATATTCAAATAGATGATACGATCATAAAGCCAGTAGCTCAAGAATATTGTTAAAGGTTGAATATAAGAATGGTTTGGCTGAGGCCGTTTGCCAAGATAATACACAGAGCTCTATCCCCGGGGGCTAGACCTGAAATACACGATAGTAGGCAAGAGTTATGTGGAATTAAACGCAAAGAAATTAGCATGTTTACTATCTGTCAATCTTTATATCTCGACGTCCCCACCAACCCTCCTAATTTCTCATCCGTTAGTCGAAGCCATCCAGCAGGATTTCATTGAGCTCAACCACAATTGCACGGCAGCACCTGACTTGGCCCAGCTGTACCTAATGCCTCGTGCGAGTTAATATCGTTATATCCAAAGAACGCATTGCTATCCCTGCTCGGGCTGTTCACGACATCAGCTATCAGCCAAATAATTCCTCCGAATAGTCAAGACGTAGGTTGACTTACGGGACGAGTGTCATCACACCTGCATCTTGGGCAGGTAGATATCCCCAATGGACTGTCCAGTCGTTATCAATACATTTGGCATTTGAGAATCCCCACGTCTTAGGATCCACGTCTTCGGGGGCTTGTAACCTGAGCTGGCAAACCACTCCGTCAGGGGAACCGTCCAGGATGAGCATGTCTATGAGAATACGATGTTCTGATGGTATTATAGCTGGACATGATATCAGCATCCTATTAGCTAAAGTGCAGTATAGAATCGTAACCAACCCCGATACATATTCTTAACAGTCCACGTGGTACCGTTCTCTCGCGCTAATAGGGGTCTCTCGAGAAGGCTTCGAGCACGAGGTGATCCGGAGGTCTTTGGTGGGTAAGCAGCAATGATTTGCTCGGGAATATGCGCGCCTTTGTTCAACGCCTTGTCATCGAACCCGAAGTATGCCTCGACATTCTCCTCCAAATCAAGTAGAACCATGACTATGAACCCCTCCGGGGCATGTCCGCCGTTAATGCTATACCTCTCTGTTCCATTGCAGGCTACACCAGAGAAAGTAGCGGTGTCGCAATCATGTCCATTATCCGCATTCACTGTGAACTGGCAGAGTGTAGGAGCGCCGTTCGATGGTGCTTCGGACTGAGAAAGCAGGAACTTCCAGTCGCAAGTTTCGTTACCAGCAGAGCGAGTTCGGACGGCGTTGGAAAGGGTCCAGTTACCAACCGGCTGCGGATGCTTCTGTCCGTGGGTTAGAAGCACGAAGAGTTGGCAAAGTAATGGAATTACAAATGTCCGCATTTTGAGATAGGATATCGACGGTATCAGAGATTTACCTTAGAAAGAAAAGTAAAATGGTTAATTCAGGATGAACTGTCCATATTCTTAGTTACTATCGTTGAGATCTATGCCTACGTAGGTATTTATACAGCTTCCTTAGATGACGCTATATTGTCCTCCTCGAGACGGGACTCTACGTAAAATGAGACATCCCACAGATCTGACTACCAATGCAGACACCCGCAATCCTAGACCATAATCGCGTCGGGATAATAGACAGGCAGTTTGACGATCGCAATTACTTTTCCCTTCCTCTTTCTCGCAAAGCCAACTTCCACGTAAACATCCTCTAGCCTTCCGGCGTGATAGTAGGATAACTCCGTACGATCAATCACCATTGGCCACTTTAGAACCGTAGATGGTAGCCTGGGAAAGCCACGCGTCTGGTCGCATCGGTCACGATCAATGTAAGGCGTCCAGTTAGAAAGGCTAGGAATAAAGCAGAAACATGGTTTCAACTTCTAACGAACTAATCAGTACGAAACGTCATAGCCATTCTGTATATCAGTTTGATTGTTATTAGTTGACTGGTCGTGCCATGTAAGCTGGGAGGCCTGCACCATACAAATGGAGCCAATATCATATTATCGTGTGACAGATATCCGTGTAGTAGCTTTTAGTTACATGGATAACGATGTAATAACACTAGGATTACGACTACAAGCTCCTTGACTCGAATACTTACAGTTTCACAGCAGATTCGGACGCTGTTTACCTACATGCTCCGGGAAATTTGTTTGCCGTTGCACCAAAAGAGCAAAGCTTCTGTTAGGTAACCGTCTTGCTTTGCAACATGTCTGGGGCAAGCACCGGATACCTATGCGCTCTACTATTCCTAGAGCTTTCCGTATAGGAGAATCCCGACAAAATGGCCAATGTTAAATGTGAAGGGACTTTTGTATCGTGTCTAAAGTAGTCGTAAGCTCAACTATATTCAAAACACGAACCGCGAAACACCAAGATGCATATGACGCTTAAATTAATCTATTTTGTTAGGGTTTCCCTTGAAATGTGAGGACATTGCTAACTTTTCACTTTACACAGCCAAAGCCCGGCAATCGGCCCTCAATGAGACTTGCCATTGCTATGTCTACGTAAGTATCTACATGTCCTGGTATAACTTGAATTCAGAGCCTAAATCGAAAGAATGTCCGTCTTTAACCAAACCAACTCCTCGCTTAATATAGTGACACATTTTCCAGGTGCATCAAATCATTCCTAAGCTCATTATACGTTAAAGTGCCACTACTACCAAACAGCACTCTTTGGCCTAACTTTATCTATCGCCTCTTGTCCGATGTGCTTCGCGATCTTCAGAGGCTGGGCGAAAGGAGCGGACCGAGGCGTATTAGGTGTAGCATGATTCTCATCCATCCTAAAAACCATGGCTTTTGGTGTCTTTGGATCAAACAAGAACCAAGGTGCGGCAAGCGAACTTTCTGCGCCGGCAAGAGTCTCGGTAGAAGATGCGTAAAAGTTTGAGTGTACCTCAAGTTCGTCGAGAGGCTGAATTGAGGTTTCAGTTGCACTTTTAATCTTCAATGATCCACCCGACTCAGGAGTAACTCGTGACGAATCAAACCTCTCTCCATTAGAATCTTTGGAGTACAGGTTGGATTCTCGTCCTGGAGTGCCAATATGGTTATGTCTGTCCCCATGAATTGCGCAGCTTGGTGAGCGTCGCACAATGATCTCTTCCACAATCTCATCATCATCCCCACTGTCCATGTGCCCTTGAACAGACCACTCGGGCGAGCCACCTCTCCTGCTAGTATCTGCATGGTCGGAGGCTCCAGTGAAGCCCTTCGGTACTCGCTGCCGCCCACGGCTGATGGCGCGGGGTTGCCAAGAATTTCCTACAGCCCCTTGAACTGATGGACCTTGGGTCTTGTAACTGTTACTGCGCGACCGGGGGGCCTGAGATGTAGGGCGATATGTCGATTCGACGTTGCTCATGCGGGTGTCTGAACGGAATATGGCAGAAGGTCCTCTAGCCGCTGAGCTATTAAGTACGCTAGGGCTCGCGCCGATTAGGACTGAAGCGTCTGCGACATCGAAGTATTGTTGTTCTATAGGGTCGTCCGCGAGAATAGGGTTAGTAGGCCGACTTCGACTTGCATTTCGCGATTTCGGCGAAGAGGGGCGATCTGGATAAGGCGAAGATGTATCGGCTCTCTGCCCAAGAGAAGACTCCGGGCGTGGACTTGTGGTTTCAAGGCGTTGAGCAAGTGCGTTAGAATCGGGCCTCTGGCCAAACGCTGAGTTAGAGCGTTCAAGTTTTCTCGACCGGCTGGTAATACGCGACTTAGGTGGTGAGGGCTTTCTGCCTTCCATGTCTACTTCTGCGGCTCTGGACTTATTTTCAGTAATCGGTTTTGGGGACATTGATGAGTGTTCTAATAAAGGTGACCCATCGCGTAGTTCCATCGAATTCCACAGGCGCGAGTCAGAAGGAGTCCAAAAGGACCTAGCTGGAAATTGCGGACTCAAATCGTCAAAAGCTGTGGTCGGAGTTGAGATTGCATTCTGCTGTTCCATTGGAACATAACTTTGTCCCGAATCAGGATGGGGTGTGGGAATATGCGGGCGCCTATGAGCATCCTTCGGGATAGAAAGCTTAGGCCGGACGGCCAAGGGCGTCGGACTTGGTGCTGTCGGAGTCGGAATCGAATCATTTGCTAACTTAGGAGGTGGGATCTGTATCCGAGGGGATGCTGTCTTGACTTTCTTAGACGATAATCGATGGGAGGCCAAGCCCTTAGAATCAAGGGTCTCCTTAGAAGCTCGAGTGAGACTTGAACCTTTTGACTTCTTTGATGTACTCGAACGGCCTGAACCGATTGAACCTTGCATGGATTTCGTACTTCTATCACTTCCAGCTCTGGGACCACGGCCCAAGGGTACGTAATCATAGTCTTTGGTGGCTCCACTAGGTGATATCGATTCATAGTTAGCGAGCGTAGACTCACTCAATGGTGAAATAGGCTGAGCGGACGTCTTAGACATCCTGGCCGAGTCGGTGCTTTTCGGTGTCTGGGTCGTTGGAGTGTTAGTAGAACCATTTCCTCCCGTTGATCTAGGCTGTTCCGACCTCCTCGAAGTATCCTCCTTGTCAGGTCTAGCCGATGTATTGGACGAACCGCCTTTTGACTCGTCATCGGTCGAAGTAACCGCTGATGCATTGTCATCAGGCCGATACACCAATTTAGCATAAGGGGCAGCATCTGTATCAACAATCAGAAGCTCCTTCTCTCCCCTACCAAGGATCCCATAAACATTAACCTCGCCATCTTTTATCCCAATCACAGCGCTGGTCCCGGCATAAACCGCGTCATCCTCGATACCACAGCGATTTGCAAAAACTACGATGATTTCCTCCTCGCTTTCTGCTCTGATGAGCGGCTCTAATCTGGATACCCAATAGGTTAATGTGTCCAAATCCGGATCATTGGGCATGCGCGAGAACATTCGACCATCCTCCCTTGTGAGCCAGGCCATCGTAAGGATGACGAGATTTGATCCCATCTCTAGGACATGAAATGCGAATTCGAAAGCGTGGAAGGGAGCCTCGAACTTATATGGACTAAAGGAAAAGTCAGTAGGGTTAACTACATGTTCAGTCATATCGCTCACTTAATATCCATGCCTAGACAAATTGTTAGCAAGAAGAGTAACAAGATTCATAGTGAAGGCTATACACACAAATGCCTAGAGAGGTGTTTCTGTTCCCAAGACCCGGGATAGATCCTTGCCAGAACCCTTCGCCGCCTTCCAGAGCCCATGTCTCGTCCGTATAATACAAGAAACTCTTTCTATAATTGCCGATTGTTTCTCCCTCGCCGTTGACGACGATGGCCGAGTTGTAGTACTCGGGTCCGGTGGGCCATTTTGCTTTTACATCGCAACTCTCTGGGTATCCGACTATCGTAACGCAATTGTATTTGAGTGCAACCGTTCTCGCCCAGAGCGCAGTTACGCCAGAGCCTTGAGGCTCGAGGAAAGGGCTGATTTGTTGAAGCGACTTGAAGTTATAGCCTTGATGGAGTCAGCGTTATGATTTGAATACACTCAAACGCACTTTAGGTACGGCTATACCTGAAAAAGCTAATTCGGGTAGACAAAGCAGGTCGAGGTTCTCGGGATTCGCTTTACTCAAGACTGCGTCGGCGCGGTTGAGGTTATTATTAACGTCCCCGAGCTTCGGGGCGAATTGCAGACACCCTATCCTCATTTTCCATCCACCGTCTCATAGAAACCGAAGACGCGGCCGTATTGTCGATTTCTAGGAATATGACGGAGAAGAAGAGGAGAAGAGGAGTGCTAAGGTTTAATTTTGTACCCAAGTAACTATATTAGGAAGAGGTCGGAATCGGTGGTTCTGGGTCCGATACGACTGTCGCTTAAGTAGAACGTGGAAGATAATTAAATCTAATGTTCTCGTCCGTCTTGCAGCGGCGTACAGATATCGTATCGCGCCCAACGATCGCACGACTCGAGATCCCACGAGCGAAAGCAGAAGTTCGGGATATGGTAAAAGGAATACCAGATTGAGTGATAAGGAAAGCGTAAGAGTGGAGAGGGCGATCGATGGGGATGTATAACACCATATTCACTAGCATATATTATGTAGGCTAAGGTGGGATGGGCAGGATGGGGTGTTAATTATAGCTGGGGTCAAGTTGTGATGCTACGTCTATTACCAACGAGGCCTACGAGATAGCACGTTTAAGACAAGGGGTGATCCTGAGGTACAGCTACAATAAACCGAATAAAAGGAGACTGGTTGAGAGTAGTATGCGTGTATCCGGACGAGGGTCTAATCGCGCAGCCAACAGTACTGCGAATATAAGCGCTTCATGGGTTATTGACTGACCTTCCTAGCCTCGCGGCCTTACTGAGCAGTTCCATCAAGCGAAATATTCAAGTTATGATTCATATATCGAGCTCACCAAGAATAGGTATAACTCACTCGAAAGATTTAAACGCAAAGCAAAACTAACCATCGTCAGTTCTGCTCCGACACTTGGATTCTTGCGCAACCTTACTTCGTTCGCGACTCGATTAGTACCTAACGGATGGTGTGGACTACGAAAACGACGGTAACCCATCGTATCCAGCTGGCGGGTGGCTCGGATGACCATGAATCACCCAATTGACTTGGGGCAATCATTATGAACCACCGGTGAAGCTTCGATGGTGGTGTAGTAGTAAAGAACTGGCTTCAAGGTGTGGCTGGGCGATAATTAATGATCCGCTGCAGAACATCTCTGGCTGTGGTGTAGCTGTGGTGTAACTCAAAACGTCGTGGGGCGGGAAAGGCCGCTGAAGAATCCCAGAGGCACGGATAGGCCAGTAGACTGCCAGGAAAGTCTCCAGAGCCCACCAATGGTCTGCCGATGAACCCCTGCTAACCTCGAAAGCGCTAAATACGCCACCGTGAGTGGGTGAGATAGCGAGAGTAGTGCTCCGCATGCGATCTTCCAGAGTGATGGGATCCAACGAGGGGCTTATGGGTCGATATTGCGTATGTAGACGCCAGAGAATACATGTTCTTCTCCACACGTGCCATTATCGAAGTATGGTGAGGATACCTACCTAACCTATATAGCGTTTGTTTCTTTATTAACCCGGTTCGAACTTCCGATAAGTCTTAGTTGGGGAAACACAAGATAGGTACCTACAGGTAGACAGCTGGAATGAAAAATATGAAAAAATAGTGGGATGAGCCCCTGCAGAAATGTGACGTACCTAGCTTAGTGCTGTTGATAGTGGCATAACCGAGATGATATTTCGAAGGAGCACAACGATCTAGGTATAGGAGATGAGAAGCCTTATTCAAAACATAACCCCCACAATGTCGAAGTTTTGATGATGAATGGAAGAGTGTAGCCGGTCAGTCCAGCGTTCCTAGGCGATGAACCAAGCTGGCGAGGGTCACCAAGAGCGTCAATATTAGACGCCTTGCTGAGTCCTTAGAGGACGTAATCTTCCACAGTATTTTGTAGACAGAGCATGAAGCGTCTCCAATGTCGCCGGATATCTTGACTTGGGTGTTCGTAAAATTGATGGGGAAGGGTGTATATCCCCTATTCGAAACAGCTTCACAGCGGTCGCCATGAGCCGAAGGACTATGCCATATATCAAGGAGCTGATATGGAACTCTTCAGACTAGACTCTTGGGCCTATGAAGTACATAAAACCCATTTCGGCTATTCTGTTTTAGACCTTAACATCTATAAACTATTAGCCCAGACTAGCATAGTCAGTTATCTAGGCGCAAGCAGAGACATAAAAGAAAAACTCGTTGGCGCTTCTAGCATAGAAGTGTTTCCCTCAATAACTCGAGCTTGAGCACCGAAGCTCGCAGTATGAGAAGCCACGGCCCACTAGCCTCGGCGCGACTCTCCTATCAGCCATAAGGTACCTTAGTGGAGGCGACTATGTTGTGTGTAACTTTGAGCATAGAGCTTCTATCAAGAGAAAAAGCCGAGTAGACCAAGTGCACATCTCACTTGAGAAGCAAAGGGGTAGACCCATCACTACCATCCCGTTCTCATGAGATACGAAAGAGGGATTGCTGGAATAATAAATTGGATAAGGCACCGACCATGATATATAAGAATCGTATAACGGACCACCCAAGGTCAATGCTGTCGGCCTGGAGTAGCAAAGCATCGCAGAGTTATTTCACGCTCAGTGATAACTAAATATCTCCACTACTAGCAAGTCTGTGTGTTTAAGGAGAGCTGACACTCCGTGTTAGTTCCGTATGATATTTATACATATAAGAGCGGAAGTCTCACGTTTTATGAAGTAGACGTTGCTATCAAAGGGCAATCAGTCCTGCCCCATGGAACTAACACTTCTTTGGTAGATACGCCCGGTAGACAGTAGATAGGTAGGTAACTACCATTTGATCGGCAAAAGCCAATGTTAACTATCCATGTCTTGTACTCCTTAGTAGTAACAGGCGCGCCGTTGATCTAGAGTCTTCATCCCACATAGTACGGCACCCTACGCGTAGAGGGGGAGCGAGAGGAAGAACAGAAAGTGTTGAAAGTCGAGGTAATGTTCGCAATGCGAATCAAGACTCCCGGGCAAGGATATGGATTTACATATAAACATATCGGAAAGCTTAATGGTGTGTACCAGTTCTGCATACTCGGCTTCCCGATTATTCTGAGATTTCGGGACGAAGCGTTCGGCTTAGGCTCGAATATATCCGAAACGAATTCACATGCCTCATTCGTTTCATTCCCTCTCGGCTTACCACCTATTAGATTCAAATACGCGCCGATTCAGTCCGATGCTACATTAGGTAGCATGTGTGTTTTGAGCTAACATTGTTCTCTCAATTTTCTGGTGGAAGACTGACCTAGTGGTAACGGTCCAATAGCACGAAGGGGGCTGTATGTATGTTGGTGCAAGATTGAAAAGTGAATATAGATCCAATCTACAAAATGGTCGAATCTTCGAACCTCATTGACCAAACCTTCCTACTCTAGGATGTTTATTTAGCGCTTAGGCTCATAGCATGTCGGTTTATTAAGGCAAGAGGTATGATCCCGTCGGCTCGGGGCATTGGCAATGGAAGAGAGTCGAGTTATCCGATTAATCGGCATGCCGTCTCGGTCATAGTTAAGCTGCGCCACTTAGATCTTGGCCAAAATTGCGACGATCTGTGAAAATGACGAACAGGAAACTACTAGATGACATATTCTGGTTTCTGCCTTGCTTTAATATATGCCCTCTAGCCTCTAGCCTCTAGCCGCTCTCTATCAAGTGTTTGCTTTTTAGCTACGTAGTACGAGCCCATCATACATCATACCTCTTAGGAGAATAGGAGCAAATGGATCTTTCAACGGCTCCGTCATCGAGTCCCGACAGTTTGGGTCGCCCAGCACACAGACATTCTCCTGGAGGCTCGCTCGTATAAAACTCCTCGTTTGTTACGTGAGACGAAACCGATCATAGAATTACCACCGGTTGAACTCTTATCATGTACGTAGATCGAAACAGCCACACGGACGATCAGGTATACACGCCACAATAGGATCGTAGTAGGATCGTAGAGAATACATCTACCTACCGCATGACAGTCGATAGATACGGTTAATTTCTCGGCTCGTCGCCATTTTCGCATTGCATGCATAAGGCGGCCCCCCAAAGCCCCGAAGCTATGAGGGCCAAGAGGGTTACTTTCTGCATAGTAATTACATATTAGGGTGTGTTTAGGTGAGCGTGCCCTGTCAGCTTGTGTGACGAAGCGTTCGTTTTCCGGATTGAGGTTATTTCGGTGGATCGATGATTTGGGGGACATGTTGAGCAACGTTCCTTTACTCAACCATTGGACGAATATATTAGCGGAGTCATTTTTGATCTCCAATAAACGGTCGTAGCCAAAGCCATCTACTTGAATCCCCACTCGGTAAGGTGCCATGAGCAAGGGGGCCTTGCATCCGGAACCAATGTCAATACACGTGCTCTAAAATCCTATTGGACCCTTTCCTTCTCCCCCTGGATTCTGCCCCCCGGACTAACTATACAACCATAGCAAAGTCCCGATCCTCCGACTTGATCGAGTGTGTGATGGCCTCCGCACGGCCCCCCTCTCATGATTTGCATATGTAGCTCTGTCGACTATTTCGTCCACTGAATGGATCTAGTGAGGTGATGTGCGTCGATCCGATGAGGCGGTCGAGGCAAATATTATCAAGACGTTCGCGCTTACAGTCTTCTCTTCAGAAGTGACATCAATCAGATAGGGATGAAACCACGTTGACGAAGCACCCTCACTGCTCCCTTGCTTCACGGTTGAGCGGAGGCTCTCTCTGAGTAAAGGTATCGAGATTTCATAACCACCGAAAGAACTGGATATCTTAGGTACGATATCTATTAAATCTATATTACTTCGATACCCGGCATTTCTCGACCGTAGACAGACGTCGGGTAGGAGGCAAGAAAACATGATGGCGACGTTCCGAGTTTTGTCGTTCGCAGCCCTTTGGCATGCATCGGCTGCGTTACTTGTCGCAGATGGGTCACCATGCGAGACGCAATGCGGTAATGTACTTGGCTCAACAACAAACGATATGATAGTCTGCGAGGATTCGGAATACAGCGTCGAATCATCAGGCCAAGTCTACGAAGCCTGTATCGGCTGCGAGTCGACGAGTTCGTACGCAACACCAAACGGGGCACAAAACAAATCCGACTTACAGTATATGCTCTGTAAGGCTTCATTCGCTCTCTTATGTGCGTCATAGCTGCTAATTCATATTGTCAGATAATATGCGATATGCTGTCAACGTATGTTTATTCGACGCTAGAACAACCCCGTGCATCACTTCGTATGTGTCTATCGCTTCTCATTCCACCACGATGCTAACCTCAGCAGCTACGCTTGCGGTAACATCGAACAAGCGATCAAGTACGGTAATCTTACATCCAGTAGCTCGATATATGGCTACTGTGACCAGTGGACCGACTATAACCTTAACAATTGTCGCTCTTGCTTGACCTCTTCACCTAACAACAACTACCTTAGCAACTGTATGGTCCATCGTAAATTATCTTACTACCGCAACAGCTGACCCCCATCTCCTATTACAGATATATCGATTCTGGATGGCGCTTGCAGACTAAGACTTGAGCCACCAGCTACCCTTCCCTTGCAAGGTAACATCTTTTCTACGGACGCCGTGAATGTGACGGATCCTACGCCTACAGCCACATTCTCTCCTCCAGGGTTGAAAGGCCCCTTGGACTCCGGTGCTATTGCTGGTATTGTCGTTGGTGGCCTCGCCGTTCTTCTTACCATCGTCGGATGTGGGATCATTGTCAATGGCAAGCGCCGGAGAAAGGCATACCTCCGCCGTCGGGAGCAAACCACTAAGAACTGGCCCTCATCTCAAGGCGGTGGTGAGATGTTTGAGACACCCATTAGTCAGAAGCCTCTCCGGGGCTGGCAAGACTCGCCTATCAGTGCATCAACCCAGACTGCCTTCACACCCTACTTCTCGCCTTACTCCTCTCAATATAATAGTCCCGTCAGCGGGGTCGAAGGCCCTAACATGACATGGCCAATAGAGAAGTCTGATAATATCGGTATTGCAATAAGCCCGGACCGTGAGGTCTACTCGCCATGGAGTGATAAGAAGGGCAAGGAAAAGGTTGCAAGTGTAGGAGATGACGGCTACGAGCTGCAAGAGGGCGTGAACAGTGCCGGCGGTTACGAAAACAGGATTCAACCCTCGCACGCCTATAACCCGCCTTTGCTAAACCATCCCGGTTACGGGAGACGCAGTACAGGATCTCGGGAAAGCCCGCGAGAGTAAGAAGGGGTACGGCATAGTTACCGCCTATTAGGTGGTATCGTTGGATATGGTGCGGCTTGAATCTTTTACTCTTATAATATTAGCGAGGAGTTGTGGTGTACGATGAGATACCTAAAGGTCGTGTTTGACGAGTCACGATAGAATTTCCTTGATCATCGAGGAATATATGCTATAATTTCGGGTTGAGGGGTGGCGGCCTTGATTTGATTGGGGAAGATTTATACCATGGTAGTTGATTTGACTGTTTAATTGGTTTACACAATTGATTGAGGGTATAGATTCGTCTTGAGAATTCTGATTGCCATACCTCATGAATCACCAGTACCAAGCCTTCACTCAATTTCACCCAATCCCACCTTATCGTCATTGCATTTGAAATGCCAATAGGTTAAGCACCACGAAAGCAAGTGCCCTTCAGATGCCGCGTAGTGTCCGAAACGCCTTGGAAAGTAATTCATCGGCAGCATCTGCTCGCCCATAGAGTCTGAAAGCCATTTGAACCTTTCCTAGCCAAGTCTGTTCCGCCATGGCAATCCTGGCGATTCTAGCATTGCTCTCCGTTTCAAATAAGGACGGCATTATTACCATGGAGGGTTCGAGTCTTTCCCTCGTGAGATAGTCTAGTAATCCTTCCTCTTCCAGCAAGAATGAGACTAAGAGTTGATAGATTAGTCTATTACAGTGAGGAATACTTAAGTTTTCTGCTGCTTCTTTTAGTTTACGGTCAGCGATTATCGGAGACGAAGAATTTTGTCTTTTCCCATCTATGTCAAAACCAAGTGTAAGGTACCGCAACCCACGAACGAATTTTCGTCGTATGTCGCTAAGCTGTTGAAAGGGGGTGCCGAGTAGACAGGCTTTGCAGTCGCAGACAAAACGTAGTGCTTCATGGCGCTCACGTCTGGTCCTGCACTCAAAATCGTTTTTATAACAGAAAGTGATCTCCTCGCCAGCCATGATGTCCCTTATTGCAAACATCGTGATGATCTCACCGCTGGTCTCTGGGATCTTGGCGTTGGGTACGCAGGAATGATTAAAACGTGAATGGAGCAGAAACAGGCCATGTCCTGAGTTGGCTGACATAGCGAGGGAGTTTTCCGCGAGGGCTTCGTTTAAGCTCTCGAAAGGACCACCGGCATTGTCACGAAGAAGTAAAAACTGTTGTTTTGCCGTCGGTGTCAACCGCTGGAATGCTGCAAAAACATCTCCATCTGTAATGTATTGGGACGGTTTCGGAATAACGAAGAGTGGTCTTTCTATCAAGACCGGGTCTCCTTGTTTGATCAACCTCGTAGCGAAGGCACCCCAGCCTTTCCCAGGTGAAGAGGGTCTTAGTTCGAAAGGCGCATCTTTAGGTATTTGGAGTCTGCGATAGGCTAAAGGGGTAAGCTACGGGATGCACCCAAGTTATGGGTAGGCTTACGATGGTCTTGGGACATTATTTATTGCTATGCTTGCTGTCCGGGGGTCGTGGAATGAAGAAGTAGGGTAGCTTGAGCTTTATCGGTGCCTTACAACTGAATTTCGGACTCTGTGTCAGGATTCTAGATGAGACATCTAGAGCAAAGGAACTGTTCAGTATGTATAGACGAAAGATCTTCATAGATAGTTTAGAGTTCCTTGCAGAACAACGAAATACTGTTTCGTTCCACCTCGTGACACTCTGATGCCACGCCAACACTGTGATGCAAACGGGACGTGCAATTTACGGTAACATGCAGGTTTCGTTCCGTCATAACCTCATTTAAAGCCGTAGTCGCCGTACATGAATGGTAATTTAATTACATTTCTACTCATTTAAACCATTTCGGAAAATTCACAGTAGCCTAGATCACAACTGCTTCAGGTAGCATAATGACAGCCAGTTATATACAAGAGGGGAATTATAAAAGATATAGTCTATAATACACTTTGGTTCGTTTGATTAATGTAATGATATTAGACAGATTCCTGGGCCTTGGTAGGCTCCCCAGGCTTAGCTTTGCCCGCCTGCTCTTGGGCGCGAGCTTTCAAACTGCGCCATTCCACGAAAACGCTGCCGAAGATAGTGATACCGCATGTCGCTATCACCATGTAAAATACATCGATTATGGCTGCGTTATAGTCGGAAAGAAGTGTCTCTAACTCACCTCCAGAAACCATATTCCTCAGCTCAGTGGCACCACCTCCAGTGACGGAACTAGGGTTAATACTAGGAACATTAGAGAGCTTCGAGATGAGGCTGTTAAGAAAGACGTTTTCAGCGACTGGGAGGAATATAGCTGAACCGAGAAAGCGCGAAAACGTCACGATTGCGGTCCCGGTTGCGATGTCTGGTCTCTCTAGGACAGTTTGCACAACGTTCATTGGCTGTTGCATGCCAACTCCAAGGCCAACTCCAAAGAGTATCTGGTAGCCAATCCACTTACCCTCGCTGATGGATGGAGTGAATGTTGTCAAAAGACCAGCTCCTATTGGCATTATAACAGAGCTGACCAAGAAGAAAGGGGCGTAGTACCCAAGCTTGGAGACCATAATACCGGATAAGATGGAGCTAATAACAGTTGAGAGGACCAGAGGAATCATCATAATTCCAGAACCAATGGCATTGGTGCCTTTTACAGCCTGGAACCAGATAGGGAGGTAGTACGTCAGGACCATCATACCGGAACCGTTGAAAAAACCATACCACACGGCGGCGATGATGCTGCGTTGCTTTATGATACGCGGTGGGATTGATGCACTTTCCTTCTTCCAAGCCTGTACACCGATGAAGACGAGACACAGGACACCACAAAGGACCAAAAGGACGATGATGCGAGCGTTGTTCCAAGGATACACGGTCCCTCCCCATTGAAGAGCCAAAATCAAACAAACGATTCCCGGGAGGAATATGAGGTTGCCGATAGGGTCTAGCTGTTTGATCTTCTCAACCCAACCTGTTGCCTTCGCGTCGAGCTTCTGGTTGGGTAAGTGTAGGATCAACGAGGTGACGATCATCGATACCGCCCCGACTGGGAGATTGATATAGAAACACCATCTCCACGTTACCCTATCGGTAAAGCTACCTCCGATAAGGGGGCCAATAACTGATGCAATTCCGAAGATGGCTCCGAAAGCGCCTTGGTAAATCGGCCGCTGCCGTAACGGGACGGTGTGGAACATGATAACCATCACCCCCGAAAATAGCCCCGACGATCCCATTCCTGCAATAGCACGGCCGAAAATGAAGGCAATAGAGTTGGGAGCCGAACCACAGATGGCCGAGCCAACTTCGAATAGGAGACAGCCCGCTAGGAAGAGAGGCTTGGCAGGGTAGAATTTGTAAACCTTGCCCATGACAAGTGAGAGGCCGCACATTGTCAGTAAATAGGCCGAGCCATACCACCCAATGTCGTCTAAAGAGTGGAACTCGTTGGTTATACTGGGAATAGCTGTCGATATGATGTTTTGGTCCTGCAATAGAACTGAAGGTTAGCAATCGATCTGAACCCTGATAGAAACGGTGACTTTCTAAAATTATAATATCACATACCAAAGTAACTAAGAAAACCGCCAAGTAAAGTGCCATCATGATGACAACCCTCTTTTGAGTGCTAGGGTACTCATCGATCTCTGGCTTGTGGTTCGCCTGCCCAGCGCCCTCAAGGGGCTTCTTTTCACTATCCGCGGTATGTTGGGACATAGTGACTTCGAAAGAAGAGCTATGATTAACTAATGAACATAATAATAGGTAAGTAAGACCTCGCCAAGCACCCAAGCAGCATTTTATACATCTAGAAATGTTGCTGGATTTTCCCCTAATTCGTCTTATAAGACGGGGACCCACGCCGTAAAGGGGCCGGATCCGCTGCTCGGGGTTCAAAAATCGATTTTTCGCCTCCGAGCACCGAGAAACATCCACGGTCAACTCACTCGTTATGCAACTCCGCGAACTGCAACACTACCTCCATTTATCTCCATAGAATTATTAAGTCTAGAAAAATGTCTCAATCTGCGGTAACGATGCCGCTCGGTCCCGAGGACGATCTTAAAAGTTACTCGTGCGTGATTTGCCGGCAGCGAAAGGTCAAATGCGACCGGCGCAACCCCTGTTCCAATTGCGTCAAGGCAGAGAAGCAATGCAGCTTCGTCGCCCCAGTGCGAGGAAAGAGAAAAAGAACGAAACCACCTAAAGAGAGTCTCCATGCTAAATTGAAACGGCTTGAGGAGTTATTGAAATCTTATGGCGCGAAAACTGAGCTGTCCGATGATCTCGACGACTCCGACTCGGAGTCGATGTCTCACCCAGATGATGAGATAGCTAGGTCTCGAAGCCCAAGTCATAGCGAACCCTTTTTCAAGCTAGAAGAGAGTAATCCGAAGCTTATAACAAAAGAGGGGACGTCGAGATATTTTGATATGTATGTTCATTCTTAACTCCTTCTCTAATACCTAGTTCCTGACATTCATTCCTTAGCACACCCTGGGCTACTATAGGAGAGGAAGTAAGTATTTACTATCTCTTCTCCACTTCAACTGCCAGCTTTTTCTAAGCGTTGCCTAGTTTCAACATCCAGAGGTTGGTGAGCCAACAGATGAGGCAAATTTTCACGAAAGTGGGATTTTCTTCGAGTCGGAACCAAATTACGCCTTCGACAATGTCGCAAGCCTACATCCTTCTTTGCCGATATTGGCAAAGATGAAGGAAGTATTTATCGATCGAGTTGATCCTCTGACGAAGATACTCCATGTCCCTACATTCTGGACCGCGTTAACAGACATGCTACGGAACCCTCATAACCGCTCTAGAAGTTTGGAAGCATTAGCATCAGCCTTCTATTTTGTAGTCGTCACATCATTAACGGATGAGGAGTGCCGAAACTTATTTGGAATAGAGAAATCGATACTCAATTCCCGTTACAGAATTGCAACTCGCCAGGCTTTAGTACATGCTGGATTTCTGTCTACTTCCAGTCCAATGACGCTCCAGGCGTATGCAATTTTCATGGTAAGCTATTACCCTTGAACGTCTGTACGCTCTCATTCTAACTCAAGAAGATGTGTGTAAGAAAGAGTTACAGACATGATACCCTGTTCGTATTGTCAGGAGTTGCGATCCGACTGGCTCGGAAAATGGGATTACATCGCGACGGTTCACTTCTAGGGCTATCTCCATTCGAAACTGAAATGCGGAGGCGGCTTTGGTGGCACCTCGTCCACGTGGACTTTCGCTTGGCCGACATCCTCGGCACAAGGCCTTCGTTAGACCTTGTTTCCAAGGATACTAAGATACCGCTGAATGTCAACGACGAAGATCTCGACCCAAATATGGCCAATTTACCCCCGGAGCGTAACGGCATCACTTCCGTTTCATTCTGTTTGATCAGATGCGAGATATTAGAAGCTTTGGACAAGTTCGCGCCGGTATCTATTAATGGGTTACACTGGGATGCACTTCGCGGCTCAGACATCCCCCTCACCGAAAAGAACCGCATCATAGATCAGATTGAAGATCACCTCGAAACTAAGTATCTACGGTATTGCGACCCATTGAACTCGCTTCATACTTTCATATCAATCATGGTTAGGTCATCAATCGGGAAGATGAGAGTCTTTGGCCACAGCCCTCGGTCGCCCGCCAACAGACCGATCAAAATGCCACAGAGCGAGCGCAACATAGTATTCGCGAACTGTATGAAGCTTTTGGAATATTTAACCGTGTTGCACGGCGGTCTGAATAATATGGAAAAGTACATGTGGCAAATCGGCACCAGCTACCTCTGGGGTACAATGCTCTACGTGCTCATCGAGACCCGGAATCGTAAAAAAGGTCCCGAGGTTGATAGGACGTGGCAGTTGATTGGAGAAGTCTACTCACACTACCCCCAGATCTTCGAAGAATCCACCGGACCCGTGTTCACAGCGATAGGAAAATGGACACTGCAGGTTTGGAATGAGTGTGCTGCGGCTTTAAAAGCCGAAGGGCACCCAGAACCGCCAATGCCCCGGTATATTGAGAGGATCCGTCGCTGCCGTGAAATGTCGTCGGAACCACGATTCAAACCCAAAGGTCCAGCGGTGGATTGTGGACCTGTTACTCCAGATTCATTCGACTACACCAGGATGCAATCTCAAGTGTGTGAAGGGAACTTCACTGATTTAGAAGCTTTTGGGCCTTGTGATTTCTCAGATCTTCTATCTCTCCAGATGGACTCGAGCGAGTGGATACAATGGGATCAGATAATTGTAGAACAGAGCGGCTTCCCTTAACTCAACAGGATAATAACCCTTGAGTTGAGTGAGTACCTAAGCATGGTTTATAGATGGGGTCGAATGAGAGGGTTGTGGTTATGCTGCCTGGAAAACTAGGAGATGAACGGCTGGGTTGGAGCAATTGGATTACTTGAATACGTGTACGATAGGAATTCAACTATATTAGGAGGTAGGCAAGTAGGTGTATTGTATTATTACCCTCGGGTTTTCTTACAAGCTGAGCATCTTGGAATCGTGGATATAAACTTATCATGGCTCTTTCAAAATGTACAACTATCTCCAACTGTTCATGGTTTTGCTTGTGATTCTAATCGATATAGTTTCTACAGTCTTGACTCTTACTCTAGGTAAGGATTAGATAGCCTATACGAATATTACTTATAAGTTACTGCTGGCACGGAGTTCATACGGCTCAGAACTCCCGGTAACTAATTTGGTATTAAAAGATAGGTAGTAAGAACGTTGCTTGTGATTCGAGGGTATAAATAACTTGTCTTAGGCTTGAACATCAACAGACCTGAGATATTTATAAGTTGCTATTTCGAGATGAATTTCAACCAAGAAGGCTTCGACCGCCGTTTAGAGGCTCTACAGCGAATACTGCAGCAGTATAACTTGAAGGTAAATATTAGAAGATGCCTCTTAGCAGTGTGTATTATGAGTCTAACTATTGCAGTCTACACGAGTGACACCCATTGCATACGTTGAACATTGCCCTTTTCATTTCAATAACTTTATATATAAAGTAGAGCTTGAAGTTTCAGCAGTTCTGGCAACATTTCCCCATAGACAACCATGCACATCAGCTCCGCCTGCTGAGGGTATATCGACGCTAGTGGTTCGCATGAGCAACCCCCTTGCAGAAGGGCTGAAAAACGCCAACCGCGTGGAAAACGATGTTGCAGCTCAGCATCTTGCCCGAAAGTCAATTCAGTCTAGGGGACTTGACGCGGTAGTTCCCGCTGTCTATGCATGGTCACCATGTAGGTACCCTGAAGTACCTGGCGAGACTGGATTTGGGTGGACAATAAGTGAATTCAAGCCTGGGTCGGATCTAGATGCCCAATTTGATTCATTATCTCTAGAGGATGCTATTGATGCTGTTCAGCAGTTAGCTAGCATCTTCGCCGCTATACAGAGTTCTGAGATTCCTGAGATGGTAACCAAGTTTGGTGCGTTAACTCTAGATGATAGCGGTGTTATTGTAGGCGGACAGCCACCGTTGCTGAAAGCTGGTCCGTTTGATACGTACACGGAACTATGGGTCGCTAAATTAGAAACACAGCTGAGCGAGGTGGACAAGAGCCCATTGCTGCACTGAGAGACTTGGAAGACTTGTTGTGCCCGTTTGAATTGTTAATGAAGGCATGCTAAAACGTATCTCGGATGAGGAGAAAACCAAGAAGAAACAGGAAGGGGAGGGAAAGTTTCAGAAGTGGATAAAGGATCATGAGCTGTGAACTGATACTAAGTGCTGACTTCTAAGATATTTATTTATTTAGTCTAATGCAAGAGAGTAAGTTATATCTACGTGTATAGAGGAAAAGGAGTGTTAAAAAGTGAACGAACGGGCTTACTGAGTGGCTAGAGTTCCGGCTCTAAGTATGCTATCGATAAGCCAATTTGAGCGCTAGTTGTGGCTAGAGCTATTGATTGGACCAAGTCTCCATCAGTTTTCCCCACATCCAATAGCTAGAAAATTTTTGGAGCTTTTCTATTTTATTTTTTTCAATTCGCAGACCCGGCGTCCGAGGCAAATCTTCCATTTGCAATTGTCATTGGAAAATCTCCTTCACGCCAACACCGTCGCGTACAAGCTTATATAATTGAAACAGGTAATCATCAAGACGGGTTAAAATGGCGACCAAGGACGATATTAAGCCCAAGGAGGACGAGTTCTCTATTAAACCAACCACGGTCACTCCGTCTGTTGACACGAGCACATGGCCGTTGTTGTTGAAGAACTACGACAAGCGTACGTGAATAAAGTCATGACTAAAATTAATCTGCGACACTGACCTAATTACAAATAGTTCTCATCCGAACTGGACATTTCACTCCCATTCCCAATGGCAGCTCGCCGTTGACTCGAGACCTTAAGTCCTACATTAGCTCTGGTGTGATTAACCTCGATAAGCCTTCGAACCCCTCAAGTCACGAGGTTGTTGCTTGGGTGAAGAGAATTTTACGGTATGAATTTGTGCTTTGGCCCGTGCAGGAAGATGATGAAAGCTGACTGCGAATATAGTGTTGAGAAGACAGGTCACAGTGGAACCCTTGATCCCAAGGTCACAGGTTGCTTGATTGTCTGTGTTGATCGTGCTACTCGATTGGTCAAGTCTCAGCAAGGTGCCGGAAAGGAATATGTTGCCGTTATTCGATTACACGATAAGCTTCCTGGTGGCGAGGCGCAATTCTCACGAGCTCTCGAGACCTTGACCGGTGCCCTCTTCCAGCGACCTCCTCTAATTTCTGCTGTCAAGCGACAGCTTCGTATCCGAACCATCCACGAGAGCCGAGTCATCGAGTTCGACAATGACCGCCACCTCGGTATTTTCTGGGTCAGCTGTGAGGCCGGAACCTACATCCGAACCCTCTGTGTGCATATGGGTCTCCTACTTGGTGTAGGTGCACATATGCAAGAACTGCGACGTGTGCGAAGTGGTGCTATGGATGAGACGAAGGACCTTGTGACGCTTCATGATGTTCTCGATGCCCAGTGGATGATGGACAATACCAGAGATGAATCCTACCTGCGCAAGGTCATTGCGCCCCTAGAGACTCTTCTTACGTCGTACAAGAGAATCGTAGTCAAGGACAGCACTGTTAATGCTATTTGCTATGGTGCAAAGCTCATGATCCCTGGCTTGCTACGATACGGTAAGATATTTCCTCCCTCCGTTAAGTTGATTAAAACTAATATTCGATTATAGAGGATGGCATTGAAGTTCACGAGGAGATTGTTTTGATGACAACGAAGGGTGAGGCTATTGCTCTTGGTATTGCTATGATGTCGACCGTCGAAATGTCGTCTTGCGATCACGGTGTAGTAGCAAAGGTGAAGCGATGTATCATGGAGCGAGACCTGTACCCTCGACGATGGGGTCTGGGCCCTACTGCTACCGAGAAAAAGAAGCTGAAGGCATCTGGAAAGCTGGACAAGTTTGGACGAGCGAACGAGGCAACACCCGCCAAGTGGACGTCGGAGTACAAGGACTATAGTGCTCCGGCTGATGGCGTAGCAGCAACGCCAGCTGCCGCTGATGTTACCATGACCGAAGCTCCCGCCCAAACTCCCTCGAAAGAGAATCCCCCTTCACCTACGCCTGCCACAGCCGAGGATGACAAGAAGAAGCGCAAGAAGCACGATGGAGAGACCGCCGAAGAGAAGGCCGAGCGCAAGAGACGCAAGGCAGAGAAGAAGGCAGCCAAAGCAAAGCGCTCCTCGCTGGGAAAGAAGGACGATTCTGACTCAGATTAAAGGAAAACCTATCTAGTTCTGAGTGGGGTTTCTCCCGAGTTGCATTTGGTTGATACCATTTGGTCGGTCAGTGGCTAGTTGCATGTATATGCCTTGGCTTGCGGCGTTATCTGCTGTATCATACAGTTTTTAAGGGTCTGGAAAATGGCGTTTAGGACCTCTGCTTATTTTGTTTTTACGATGTCTCGAGATTTCAGAGGATGAAATGCGGCATGTGGATTCTGGAACATAGTAGATACCACGAATTATCGCCAGTTGAACATGAAGTGTTTCATCCAACTTTGTCGCTCTTGGGCGAGATGCTGTGACCTGATGATTGATGTTTGCCCCTCTTGACTTTCTAAGCTCGACATGTTTCTCGCATTTGTGTTATGTTTACTCGGGCAAACTGCTAATAAGCACGACAACACGGCTCTTGGTAAGCAACGTTTCGTCGTCGCGCCGCTGCATAATAATACGTACGTAGCCATATGCTCACGCACTAGGACGATATCTATGTTAAATCGTCAGACTTGACCACAGAAAACTGACGATAGTAAGACTGCCAATGAATAAGTTGGTACAGCGCGTAAAACTGTGAGGGATGACTTATAGCAGTAGGGATATTCCCAGCTTCAATCACAACAACGCCTAAATCTAGTATTGTGTTCTCTCAATGAAGCTTATATATACGTCCGTATGTTATTTGATCGTGATGCCAGACTCTCGTCATCTGCGGGGCCTACGAGATTCTTATCCCGACTCAGCCCCTCTAAGATCAGGATCGTGATTCTGGCCACAGCATCTTAGACTCTTCTTTCTTTTTTTTGCCAGTTGCACACGTGGGAAAAGAGGATCTACCTTCCTATGTGGGGAGGTAGCTCAAAAAAAAATAACTTCTTTTAAGCGTGCTTGTCTCAAATGTCTGCTCGGTGCTAGTTTCTTCACGTCGTTCGAGCTCGTGATCTTTTTTGCCCCGACAGTGTTACCGTAGGTGGTACATGGGCACGCGCTCATGGAAATTTGAATTCGCTTGTGTTCTCGCGTGCCTTATGTGTTGAACATCGTCTGGGTGGCGCTGCGGTGGTGCTGTGCGAGTTGAATGGTGGTGTAGACCAAATAGACTTTTTATGCTACGACTGATAATACGATAATTCTGTTATTAACGGGGATATTTTGTGCGTGCGTACATATCGACATGGGATATGGATGTTCCAAGATGTGGTTATGAAGTGATCGGCATTGATGCCTACCTACTTGGCTTGAGTAATTCCCACTCATGATCTTCATTATCACTTACCTAAGGCCATATCTCAATCTGTACAGTATTTGCTCGACAGTTCTTAGATAGGGGGAGGTAGTGTGCACGAACCACGTCTATTGTAACCATGTACGGTGTCGCCTGCTCTAGAACAGGTATGTGCAACTCGCGGAGATCCGGACTGCCGGAGTCAAGTTAGTTTATACGTATATGTGCGACTTCTATTTCTCAAGCTCGCTGATTAGACTAACAGGTAGCTATGAGACTAGAATCATGCCTACTAGATGATCGCCAAGCTGATATGTCGTTCAAACATGTCTGAGAAGACATCTGTTTCTCAGGTAGATCAGTCTGTATGGGTGGTGGTTCAGGGCTGTCGGTACAGGGGTATATATCAGCCTCAATGTTGCATAGACCCGCACTGATATTGATCCAGAATTCCTTAACATTGGTCGTTGGAAGATCGAAACAAAGTTCGGTGAAGATCTTTAACTATTGACTTTACACTACAACATCACTAGCATAGAGAAGCCACTTTCAGGGGTATGTATTAAAATAGTTTGCCATCTCCATGGGTAAATTTGGCATTGGTAATTGTCGGCAGTTGTCCGTAAGTTGACCTAGACGACTTGCCTTATTAACCCCTAGATTTCAAGTAAGATTTAGGCGAAAGAACTGTTAGTCTTTCCATTGGTTTTGATGCTTGGATGCCTGTTTATGTTACTTTGAAAGCAGACGACCCGCTGTTTCCGTCTCGTATCCGACTGAGAATCATAATCACTCGGGGATAGGCAATATAACTTATGACGACGCATAAATCACACAATGTCACGACCTCCTGAACATCTGAATCTGTTTTGAGCAGATGGGTCGACTTTAGGCTCCACGACAGCCATAGATGCATATCCGTAGAGGCCAAGCCGGCCGTTCTAGCCGGATGCTTTCTTTTTCTTTACAGCGTCCTACAGAGTGACCTAGACGGATATGCGGTTCAGTAGTATGGTTCGACACCGCCAGTTACACGGTGATTTAGGCTACATCATTGGCTATATCCATTGCTTCTTCCTGCTGTGATACTGCACGTATGCTTTAGATCGGGAAGAATAGGATACGATAGCAGACTTGCGTAGAATAATTAGACTTACGGAGCCATGTTCTACACATACTATTATTTCTCTATAAAATGGACGAGCGCCAACCGAAACCGTCCGGATCGACATGCCAAAGCCGAAGCGAGATTCGGTCCAGTTATTTAGTCTATAGATCGCCTCTCAGTCACGTACCAGCTCCGTCTACAAACACTGTCTTTGCTTTTAAGGTTCAGCCTTAGCACCAGATTTGTTTCGAGCTGGCTTGCTCGATATGCGAGTTATTAAGGATGAAGCTCCTTAGTCTACTTGCAGCCGCCGCGCTGTCATTCATTTTCGTTTCCGCGTCGGCGATACCCGTACAATCTCTCCGAACAGCAAGCGATGATCCGGTGTTCGACGATGACTTCGCTGATCCATCAATATTCCAAGACGAAGACGGTACCTGGTATGCCTTTGGGACGGCTGGAAAGAATAAGCAAGTCCAGGTAGCTACAGGAGAGAGCTTCGATGGGCAGTGGAATCTATTAAAGGATGTCGACGCCCTTCCTCACTCGGCTGCCTGGACTACCGGACGACATACCTGGGCCCCTGATGTGCGTCGCGCGCGCAACGGGAAATACGTTATGTATTACAGCGGCGAGGTAGCTGAAGATTCGGCTCACCACTGCATCGGCGCGGCAGTAGCAGACGCCATCACCGGTCCGTACATACCCGAGGAGGAACCTTTTGC